TGCACACGCACAGCTCTGCACACACATGGGCTTTGCACACGCACAGCTCTGCACATGCATGATTGTACACACGGCTCTCTGCATATGCTTGGCTCTGCGCACGCATGGGCTGGGCTGCAGAGCCCACGGTACCAGCCCTGTGTTCCAGAGCTGGACCCTGATGAGCCCAAGAGGCTTAGCCCCTCAGACCACAGGACACCACTAATGTGCATACTTTATCATCCTGTTAAATACATGGTGGAATTGATTTGCAGATATTTTGCCTAAGGTTTCTGTACTTATGCTCACAGGGAATATTGGTCAATAACTCAAGTTCTATCAAGTCCTCGTTAGGTCTTGGTATCTGTCAGAGGCAGGAAGGGCTCTGCCTGTTTGCTGGAGGCATCTGCAGTGTTGATGGTGTTGCTTTCTTGAATGTGTGTGAATTCTGGGGGCTGACCTCTGAGCCTGGTGTGTGTGTGCATAGCTTTAAACAGAGTCAAGGTCTTTAACAGACATTGGCGTATTCAGATTTCCTATAGTTTCTGTCAGCTTTGATAAGTTGGTTTTTCCTAGGAATTTGTATTTCATCTAAATTTTCAAATGACTTGGAATAAATTGTTCATATTGTTTTGATCTAAATGTCTGAGAGGTTGGTGGTTTTAGCTTCCTTTCATCCCTGTTATTGGTTATTTGAATCTTCTGTTTTTGTTGTCAACAATTTAGAGGTTTATCTACTTTATTAGTCTTTCAATAAAAGTCCTTTTGGCTTTGTTAAGGCATTCATTGTTTTGTTTTGATTTAATTAATTTCTTCTCTTCTATTTCCTTCCACTCTCTTTGTATTTAACTTTCTATTCTTTTTTTTTTTGGTACTGGGGATCGAACTTGGGTCCTTGCTCCTGCACAGCAGGCGGCAAAACCACTGAGCTACATCCTGGCCCTAACTTTCTATTCTTAAGATTGATTTTTTGAAATTATTTTTCAGCCTTTCTCCTCCGCCCCTTTTGTGGTACGAGGGCTCAAACTCAGGACCTTGTGCTTGCGAGGCAGGTGCAGTGCCACTGAGCTACATCCCTGGCCCCATCCCCCCTTTTTTGTTTTGTTTTTTGAGACAAGGTCTCGTCTCCCAGGCTGGCCTCGAATTTGTGGCTGTGCACGAACTCCTCGCAGCATCTTCCTGGCGTGTGGACCTTATCACTGTGGAGTGGCCCTGTTCTCATTTCTCTTGTGTTTTCCCTTGGCTTCTCCCTTCTATGATACCAACATTGCTCCAGCGGGTTGTGTTTGCATTAAATACTTTTCCTCCTTCTTAAGCTTTTAACCTTTCTCTGTTCCAAGTAGCATATAACTGGGCGTTATTTTTATCCACTGTGAAAAGCTTTGTCTTTTAATGGAAACATTTTATCCAATTATGTTTAGCAAAATTACTGACCTGAGTTTAAATCTACAATCTTCCTATTTGTTTTCTTTTTGTTCTACTTGTTATAAATGTTTGTTTTCTCCTTTCTTGCCTTCTGCTGAGCTCACTTTTATGGAAAAATTTAAACACACGCAGAAGACAGCACCGTATAATGAAGCCTCATGTTAACAAAGATTTAGCGTCAACAGTTACCAGCATATGGCCGAGACTGCTTTATGTCTCTCTGCTCAGCCCTGTCCATATGTTGTATTATCTTAAAGCAAGTCCCAGACATCTAATTCTGTCTATAACCAGTATATTTCTCTAAAATAAAAGACTCGCAAATAACCTCAGTACCCTTACTATGTCCCCAAATTGTTTTAGAACTGTCACCAAATATTTAGTTGTGTTTACATTCTCTGGCTTGTCTGATGAATATCTTTTGTAATTGACTGGTCTGAATTGGGATCCCGAAAGAGTTCACACACCTTCTTTGGTTCCTGTGTCTCAGGTAATTTTTCCCTGGCAACTGTTTTCCCTCTGTCCCTTTCCCTCGACCTTTATTTACAGAAGAAACAAGATTTGCACTTTTGTTTTGGTACCGGGGATTGAACTCAGGACCTTGTGCTTGTGAGGCAGGTGCCAGAACCACTGAGCTACATCCCTGGCCCTCACACGTTCTTGTTTCGAGGTGGTATCTTTGTGGTACCATTTAGCTTGCTCGGGATCCTGGAAGTCTGGTCAGATTCGGTTGCGTGTCCGCTGACAGCCTGTCAGTGCTATTGGGTAGTTCCTGCTGTACCCCAGCAGGGTTACTTCCACCTCTTTGTGTGACGTTGAGATCGGGGTGTGTAGGATGAGGAGTCCATGCCCCACCAGTTGGCGGTCACATATTCATTGGCCCTTTTCTAGTGACCACACTAGTGGATTTATGAACAGGTAACACATGTGAGGGCCGTTACGCTGACGCCTTCGGATGTCACACCTCCACTTCTCCACCTTTGATGCATTCTAACTCTATATCTATATTACATTTCATAAAACACTTTTATGATCATAGTTGGTTGTGTGAGTGGGCTCAAGCCGCAGTCCATTTTCTGCTGCTATCGCACAATACTAGACCAGGTGACTGAATGTGGAAGCTCCTGGTTCTGGAGGAGGAAGCCCAGGAGCCTGGTGTCTGGCCGGGGTGGCACCGAGTCAAAGTGGTGGAGGGTGCAAGACAGAAAAGTGAGCACAAGGCCCCTGTTCCCGGGAACCCGCTCTCCCAGTAATAGCATTAACTGCTCCAGGGGCAGCACCTCGTGGCCTGGTCACCTCTTCGTAGGTTCAGTGCGACCCGCACATGTCAGGGAGTTTGGAAGTGGCTGGTCCTCAGTACCCCGACTTCCACGTCGATAAATGGCTGTGTTGAGGTTGGGAATGTCATGAGACATACGTGTGGCTTCTGAGCTGGTGCTAGGTACGAAGACCTGCCCCCCCTGCTCTGTGTCTCCTGCGTGGTCACCCCCACCACTTGGCCAGAGAGCTCAGGGTCCTTCCCCCATATCACTCCAAAGTGCACCACGTGCAGGCGGAGGGCTGCTCGCTGCCCAGGCCAGGGCCTGCTTTCCTCCAGCTGTGAAGGGTGGGCCCCTCCTCCCCCTCCAGCTCTTAAGCCGAGGGGGAGTCTTTTGGAGCCTCTGAGGTCTGACTGCTGTCTCCCTGGCTCCGACTCAGGGTCTCCTTCCTCCAAGGTAGGACGGAGCCCTCTTTGGAGTCATTTGTTGAATACTCGGATCCACGTCTGTCTGTAGATGATGGAGCCACAGAGCAAGGAATGTGAATGCTCATCACACGGTACATTCCTCTGGGAGCAGCTCATAAAGGACATTTCACTGCCATGGGATTCTCCTCTCAACCAAGTCCCTCTCATCAGCTCCTTGTCCTTTTCTCTCCTCTGGCCTCAATGGGGGCAAAGAGGGGAGGCCTGACACAGATGTGCACATGGACGTGCCTGCGTGCCCGCCTTGCAGCCCCAACAGCTCTCCCCCCCCGCAGGGGACTCAGAGCAGGAAGTGATGCTGACCACCAAGACCCCCAAGGCCACCGTCGGGGGCCTGAGCCCCTCCAAGGGCTACATCTTGCAGATATTTGAGCTCACTGGCTCGGAGCCCACCCTGCTGGTGCGGAGGGAGTTTGTGAGTAAGTCCTCTGCTCTTCTCGTCCCAGCCCAGGTGGGTACCAGGGAACGCCTCTGGGCAGGAGCTGGGCACTTGGGTTCCCGTCCGAGCTTGTGCATGAGGTGCCTGGGGTCTCGTTTCCAGCCCACCTCTCGGAGTGAGGCCCCTCCCTGGCACCCACAGCTGTGTCCCCAGGGAAGGGACCGTGCCCAGCCCTCTGCCCCTGCCCTGACAGCCCCTCCTTCTCTCTGCAGTCAAGGATCTGAAGAGTAAGCCCCTGAGCAGGAGTGGCCAGAGGCCACCAGGGACAGCCCTAAAGCCTCTACCCTCCCACATGGGGGGCCCGGGCCCCAAGCAGACCCCTGAGCCCAGCATCACCTTTGTGCCCAGCCAAGAGCCGCCTGTGCTTGGCACATCAGAGTGGGCTGAGAGTAAGCTTCTGGGACAGGAGGGTAACCCTGGGCTTCTCCCGCCAGGAAATCCTTCTTACAGCTGACTCATGCTCTCCAGCTGTAACAGAAGCTTGCTTCCTGTGCCCCTGGATTCCCTCACTCTGGGCACGGGGCCAGGTTGTCTGAGACCCTTAGCTAGGGTCTGGTAGTGGAGGTGGCAGCTGTGACCCTCTCCCCTCTGCAGGCGTGCCCAGCCCAGATCCGGAGCAGCCGGAGCAGCCCAGGGGCTCTGGGGTGCAGGAGCCTACTCAGCTGACCCCGGGCCTGAAAGGACAGAGCCGCTCTGTGGCCCCCACTGGAGGAAGAGAGGAGCCAGGTAAGGGGCCTGCTCTGCTGCCTTGGGGAGGGTTCCAGATGGGCCTGAGTTCCCCACGACTTTACCTCCCAGAGGAGGGCCCTGCCTTCTCCACCAGACTGGGAGCTGCAGGAGCTGCCTCTGTCCCCGGGCATGGGCACACCCTCTTGTGTTCAGTGTCGTACAGGGCCCAGAGGACAGGGCTGGGCCTCTTTCTCAGTTGTCTGAGCCCAGGAGCTGTCCTGTGCTGGCCATGCTGAGTAGTCTGGCTCTGGGCTCAGCCTGCCAGGTGTGGCCTGTACACAGGTATGGAGGTGCCACCCCCACCCGTGGAGGAGTGCTTTGTCTCCGAAGAGTTCCAGGACCATTAGGGGAGTGAGGCTGCAGCCAGGAGCTGCTAGGTGGCCTCCAAACCCTTCCCTATCCCAAGTGGATCTACCTAGAGCCCTCTCCTACTGATCCCTCCACTCAGTCAGCGCCCTGGGGCGGCTGGGTCTGGGTGTTGGGGTGAGACTGCTTGGCCTGGGAGGCAGCATCCTGTGTGTGCATGGAGAGGTGCAGAACGGGCAAGCAGGCAGCCCCTGAGCCAAGAGTGGCCTCACCCTCTTTTGGGGAGGCCTAGAGAGGCTGAGACCCTTGACCAGCATCCATGTGGGATCTAAGCCTGGGGAGGGGCCCAAAGTCCTCAGAGGCCCTGGCCCCTAAGAGAAGAGCAGACCCTACCTGCCAACTCCAGGAGATGGTCCTTCAGGGACTGCATCCAGGCCAGAGTGGCCCAGAGGGCTGTGGAGGCCACAGGCCTCACCCGCCCCACCTTCCTTCCTGCCCAGCTGGCCCCCAGTTCCGCTGCACACCCCCCACGCCCACCGACATGGTCTTCCTGGTGGACGGGTCCTGGAGTGTCGGCCACAGCCACTTCCAGCTAGTCAAAGACTTCCTGGCCAGCGTCATCTCACCCTTTGAAATTGGGCCCAATCAAGTCCAAGTAGGTAGGTGCCACCCTTCACCAGCCCTCCTCAGAGAAGGGACAGGAGCTCTTCAGCCTCCTGGGGCCATCAGCCAGCCAGACAGGAAGATTCGTGCTGACCCAGCACATGAGATCTGAGTGGGTCGCTAGCACACTAACTTCCCTGCCCTGGCCAGGGCCACCAACCTGGTTTGCTGGAGCAGCGGGCTCCCAGGGGCTCCCAGGGGGCCAGGCTGGTGGCTTCTCTGAGGAAGTCCTGAGCCCTGTGAGCGTGGGTCTCCCTGGGGACAGCTGCTGTCCGGCACTGTGTGGACAGTGGGCAGCTCCCCGGGCATGGTCCTGGCCCTGTGCCATCTCGAGGGAGCTGCAGCCCTGGAAACTCAGCCCAGTGGCCTGGCCTCTCCCCCAGGCCTGACTCAGTACAGCGGAGACCCCCAGACTGAGTGGGACCTGAACTCCTTCCGCACCAGGGAGGAGGTGCTGGCCGCTGTGCACAGCCTTCGCTACAAGGGAGGAAACACATTCACAGGTGCGTGTGCCCCTGCCCTCTAGGGTCTGGCAGCTCAGAAGCCTCGATCCTTCCTGCTGCTTAGCCTCCCTTATGCCCCTGCTGACCCTGAAACCCGCATGAGGCTGTGGATTCTAAGCCCACACTATAGCTCCAAAACAACCCTGTGTATCTTTGAGGAAAGCACAGGCATGGGGCCTGGGGATTTAGCTCAGTGGTTCCAGCACCTGCCTCGAAAGCGAAAGATCCTGAGTTCAATCCCCGGTACCCCTCCAAAAAACACCAACAAAACAAAGCACAGGCTTTAGTCCGGGTCTTGCTGAAAGCGAGTTCCTCCAGCGGGGCTGCCAGCCTCAGGTGTTGGCAGGGGCTGGGCGTGACCTTACCGGGTCACAGGTGCCCTCTGAGGGTAGAGAACCCATCCCTGGTCCCAGTGCCCCAGCCTTGCAGCCCAGCACTGCCCAGGGGGGTAAACGGGACCCAACCCCAGGGCCAAGCACTGGGGATGGCTGCTGCTGAGGGCGCCAGAGGCAGAGGTGCTGGAAGCTGCCTGTCACTTGATTCCTGCTGCCCCAAGGCCTCGCCCTGAGCCACGTGCTGGGGTACAACCTGAAGCCGGCGGCAGGTCTCCGTGCAGAGGCGGCTCACTTGGTGATCCTGGTGACGGATGGCAAGTCCCAGGACGATGTGCATGCAGCTGCACACACCCTCCAGGGCCTGGACGTCGAGGTCTTCACTGTGGGTGAGCCCCGCTCAGGCTCTGGGGCCGGTTCTCAGGCCAGTGGGCTCCAGACGCAGATGGGAGTCTGCACCCTGGCATCGCCCTCACTGGAGGGCAGGCCAGGCACTTGGCCTTGGAGCCTCAGCTCCCATGTCTGTTGCACCTGGAGGCTCAGCCCTGCCCAGGAGAGCTGAGCACACCTGGCACTCACAGGTGCCGCCTGCACCAGCTCCACCAGCGTGCCTGCTCCTTGCAGAAGGCGTCAGGGTTTGGCATCATCTGCAGAATCCCCACCCGGCTTCTCCTGTGACCCTAGAGCTGGTCCCCCGCCTGGCCAGGGTCCCTTCGCCCCTGTGCCTGGCGACTGCCTCCCCTCCAGGCCTTGGTCACACTTGCTGCACTGGCCGCTGTGAATTCCGCCCCACAGAAGGAAATCTAGATGGAAGGGTTGTCCTGGGACCCCCAGGGCCCTCCTCATGGGCACTCTACCCCAGCACCAGCAGAGCCGGGCCAGCAGCCCAGAGCGCCTGACACCCGCCCTAGCCCCATCTACCTCAGGGGCACACAGGGGCTCGGGTGACTCCAGACAGGTGACTCCTGTCTGTGAGCAGGACCGGGGCACAGAGGGCTGGCTGCTTATCTGCCCTCCTCTCCCGAGCAGGGGTGAAGAATGCCGACGAGGCTGAGCTGAAGCTCCTGGCCTCCCAGCCGCAGGACATCACCGTCCACAACGTGCTGGACTTCCCCCAGCTGGCCACCCTGGCTGGCCTGCTCAGCCGCCTCATCTGCCAGCAGGTCCAGGGCTGGAACCTGAGCAGGGCCCCAGGTGAGGGAGCAGGTATGCTGCCAGGCCCTGTCCACCACTTTGGGCGGGGAGACTGGCTGCTGCGTGGCACCGCACTGGGCGGATTCTCCTGGTCCAGGAGGGTCTGCAGGCCCTACCAGGAGGGGTGAAGGGGAGCAGCTTTCCTGTCCCTCTGGCAAGTGGCTGCCAGGGAGCAGGCGGAGGTGCCCATGAAGGCCCCGACCACCACGTTCCGCCCACAGCCACGTGGGCCCCAGCCGCTCCAGCTCTGGACACCCTCCCCGTCCCCACCAGCCTGGTGGTGACCCAGGTCACCTCCTCCAGCATCCGCCTGTCCTGGTCGCCGGCCCCTCAGCCGCCCCTCAAGTATCTCATCGTGTGGCGGCCTTCCAGGGGTGGCGTCCACCGGGAGGTGAGCGGACTGCGTCTCTGGCTTGAGGGTCCCCGCTAGGGTCACCCACAAAGAGCTAGGGCAGCTGCCAGGGCTTGGCCAGCCAGTTGGGTGGGGCTCTGATGGCTCTAGCTGAGAGCTGGCCTGTGGGTCCACATAACCAGGCCCCACACCGAGAAAGGACAGCTGGGGCGGGGACAGGGCAAGGGTGCATGGGGACTCAGAGCAGGGCAGTCAGAGCAGGGAGCATCCTGGGGGTGGCAGAGGACCCGGGCGTCACCATCATGACAGGTGGACAAATGGGCTTGTCGACTCTCGCCTGCCTATGCCATGCTTAGTGGTGGGCACCTGGCTGCCCGCGTGGAGACACCCACGTCCCAAGCCCACACTCAGGGTACAGTCCTCCTGCCCTGCACCTGTCCCCGTTCGCCACGCCCTGCTCCGTTTGGTGGTGCTGTTTCAGGTGGTGGTGGAGGGGCCTGCAGCATCCACAGAGCTTCGGAACCTGAGCTCCAGCACCGAGTATTTGGTGTCTGTGCTCCCTGTCTATGAGGCCGGGGTCGGCGAGGGCCTGCAGGGCCTGGCGACCACAGGTGGGCAAGTGTGGGTGGCCCCTGCCCTCCCCTCAGGCCTGGCACCAGAGGCAAGCAGTGGGCAGTCCCAGGTGTGCTCCGTCCCTGGGCCTCTCTGACCCTGGGTGTCCTCTTCCGACCACAGCCCAGCCCTCAGTGTGTGGCTGAGTCACTGTCCTCAGGGGCAGCTCTATTAAATACACCTCATGCTACCCAGCTCGGCCATTCAAAGGGGACAGTGCAGCAGCCGGCCACGGCACAATCGCCTCGTGTGGGCATCTCTTCAGTCCACTGCCGAGCTTACTGGTCCCCGAAAGGACACTCTGCTCTCCTCCTCCCCAGGAAGACACTGCACTCCGCTCTGTGCCCCGTCAGCATCACCCCAACCCGGGGCCCAGCCCCGGCACCCTCTGCTCTGCTCCTCTCTGGGTCCACCACTTCCCGGTGTTCAGAGAAACAGTGTCACATGGTCTTCGTGGGGCTACCCCACCCCCAGGCAGATGGCCTTGGGTAGACATGCAGGGTGCTCCCCGGAACTGTGGGCCAAACGGCCCCAGTGGAGTTTGGGAAAGTGGCTTAGGATCCGAGTGCCACCCTGGCCCACCCCTCTGCCGGCCTCTCCTCGAGACTCACCCCTCGCATGTCCAGAAGCTGGGGAATCCTTTTGAAGCTTGAGTGAGGGCCCCTGCTGGTGGCTGTGACTTCTGTGTGTGCCAAGTTCTCAAAATGCCCAACCGTTGCCCTCCCCAGCACCCCTCCCTCCACCCCGGGCGCTAACCCTGGCTGCAGTGACACCCAGGACCCTCCGCCTCACCTGGCAGCCCTCGGCTGGGGCCAGGCAGTACTTGGTGCGGTGCTCGCCAGCCTTCCCCAAGGGTGGGGAGGAGGAGATTGAGGTACGTGGTCTGGGGTGGGGACAGAGGAGGTGGGGACAGTTGGGGCAGGGGCCGAGCCAGCCCTGATGTCATGTCCCCAGGTGCGGGTGGGGCAGCCAGAGGTGCTGCTGGATGGCCTGGAACCGGGCAGGGACTACATGGTCTCCGTGCAAAGCCTTCAAGGGCCAGAGGCCAGCGAGGCCCGGGGTGTCCACGCCAGAACCCGTAAGTCCCACCCAGCCAGCTGCCCACATGGCAGAGGCCCCACTGTTCCTGAGCCTTCCACGGGGAGGCGTCCCACACCCTAGCACTGCCCCCAGGCTCGGGCCAAGGGGGAGCATCACTCCGGAGGCCTTGCTCTGTTCCACAGCCGCCCTGGCCCCCCCAAGACACCTGGGCTTCTCAGACGTGAGCCACGACTCAGCCCGTGTGACCTGGGAAGGCACCCAGCGGCCCACATACCTGGTCAGGGTCAGCTACATCTCCAGCGACGGTGGCCACTCGGGACAGGTGAGTGCAGATTTGCCTGGTGCCTGAGCGTTGCCAGGGACCCCGGGACTCAGAGTCCCAGGGGCCTCTCCCAGGGCCTCTCCCTCATCCCCCAAATTCACTCCGTGTGCCCAGTCTCCCCACACCCAGCCTCTGGGCTGGCACAGGCAGCAGGGTCAGCGTCACCCCAGCCCTCAGGGTGCTTGGTGTGGTAGGAGATGAGGAGTCTGAGGCAAAGGAGCGAACAGGCACAGAACAGCCACAGGGAGGCTGCAGGCCTCTCCCCGGGGAGCCGGAAGGGAGGCCCGCCCTTGTGGGCCGTCCAAGGTTTCCACGGTCAATAGTCTTCTGTTCTGAGGCCCTGGGGTCTCGGCTGCATGTCCCAGGTCTGGGTCGCTTCTGGGTGCCCAGTATGTCTGCCTGTGCCCCCTGCTCCCCGCAGAAAGAGGCGCCTGGGAATGCCACCTCGGCCACCCTGGGCCCCCTGTCCTCCTCCACCACATACACTGTCCGAGTCACCTCCGTCCACCGGGGAGGCAGCTCCTCCACGCTGACCGGCCAGGTGACCACAGGTGGGTCGGGGGGGCGGGGCCGGCCTGGTGTGGGCGGGGCCCTCCACCCCACTGCGTGGCTCCAGCCCACACGTGTGTGGCGGTGTGTGGTGCCGTCCACCCCCCGGGCCAGGGCCGAGCCAGGAGGGGATCAGAGCTGCACAGAGAGGTACAGTGAGGCAGGGCCCAGGCCCATTGTCTCAGGGCTGGCAGCCCACACTCTGGCCCCTGTCTTGTCTTCCAGGGAAAGTGCCCAGCCCAAGCCAGCTGTCTGTGACAGAACTGCCAGGGAATGCAGTCAGGCTGACGTGGGCAGCTTCGGCCCCAACCGGCGTGCTTGTCTACCAGATCAAGTGGACTCCCCTGGGAGAGGGGAAGGCCCACGAGGTGTGGGTGGGCAAAGGGGTAGCAGAGCCTTGGAGAAGAGCCTGCAGACCCAGGTCCTGGGGCTGAGCCGGGGCTTGGGCCCCCCTTGTGCCCAATCCAGGCCTGTGTCTTGGGGATAGCCGGCCGCCCACAGCCTGTGAGCAGGGTCTCCAATACGAGGCTGCTTATGAGCCAGGCAGACACCAGACCCTCCTCTTTCAGATCTCTGTGCCAGGCACTCTCAGCACAGCTGTCCTGCCCGGCCTGGGGAGGCACGAGGAATACGAAATCACCATCCTGGCCTACTACAGGGATGGGGCCCGCAGTGACCCTGTGTCCCTCCACTATACACCCCGTAGGTATCTCCTCCTCCACCTGGCTCCTGGGGTGGGAGCAGCCCGCCTAGGAACTTAAACTCCCAGAATGCAGGGATCCAGGTGACATGGCGTGGGTGACCCAGGCTCTAGGCAGAAGGGCCTCCGGGGGCTTTGTGAGGTCTAGGCAGGGCCCAGTACAGCAACAGGCAAGGTGGGGCACAGTGCAGGGGGCAGGGGCACAGTGATGCAGCCTCAAGCGGGGCAGGGCAGGGCACGGAGTGTGGTGCAGGGCTGTTTGGTTTTTCCTCTGGCCCTCAGGGTGCCCCTTTCTGCCAGCCCTGAGCCCCCCATGCTTGTGCTGTTGTCCAGCTGCAGTGAGCAGGAGCCCCCCCTCAGGCCTGACCCTGTCCTTGGAGACCCCCAACAGCCTGCACGTCAGCTGGACACCCCCAAGTGGCCCCGTGCTCCACTACCGGGTCACCTATGCGCCAGCCTCGGGCTCAGGACCTGAGAAATCAGTGAGTCTGAGGAGCTAGAAGCTGCTGTCCTACAAGGGGCCCTCCGGGGTGCAGGGGCCAGCCGATGAGACACAGTCCCCGCCTGCTGAGGCTGGCCGCTGCTCTGGGGCAGAGAGGCACACAGAGGGAGCCTGGCTCTCATGAGCAGACTCTGGGGTGCAGCCGCTCACATGGCCCCTGCTCCCCAGATCTCCGTGGCAGGTCACAGGGGCCAGGCCACGCTCCCTGACCTGCTGGCTGCCACCAAGTACAAGGTCCTGGTCTCAGCTGTCTACGCAGTAGGGGAGAGTGTGGCTGTGTCTGCCACAGGCCGAACAGGTGAGTGACCCGAGGCCCCAGAACTAGCCACATGTCAGACCCAGCCTGACCCCACCTGCAGCGTCCTCCAGCAGGACATGGTGGGGACCTGGGAGGGCCGGGCCTGTCTGCACCCTGTAGCACTGCTCAGCCACTGTGCAGCCCAGGATGGCAGAGGCCATGGCAGCAGACGGGGGCTTCCCCATGCAACCTCCCCATTCCAGAGTGCCACCGAGCTCAGGTGGGACCACAGCAGCCCGGACAGAACCTGCCCTGCAGAAACCCCAACCCAGGCCTGGCCCACATGTCCTTAGCTTCTAGGAGTCCGAGGGGCTGTGAAGGCCAGAGGCAGAGCACAGCCTGGGTGGAGGCTGGGTCAAGGAGGCCAGGTGGTGGCTGGGAGTCGGACTGCCTGCCCTTGGTGCTGCGGGCCTGGCTGTGTCTCCCTTGGCCCTGGGGTACCCCCTACAGGCCAGGCCCAGTGAGGGGGAGCCATCGCTGGCGGTTCTTTTACTGGTTTTCTTGGCCAGCCACAGTCCTCCGCAGAGGCCTGAGTTCTGCCTCACCTCCCTCTGCCCCCTGTATCGTCCACGTGGAACATGCTCTCTGGGTGGACAGCCACCGAGGCGGGCAGCAATTCCTGCCATCACCTGTGCATACTGGGCATGGCCATGGAGCGGGCCTGCACCCCGCCCCAGGCTGGCACATGGCCCACGTCCCCTCGCCATACTTCCGGGCTTCTCCCTCCCTGCTGTCTGGAGCCAGTGCCTCTTAGGACACAGCACCCACAGAACCCATGGTGTTGGCCCTGGACCCACAAGGGGCAGGCCATCCCTCCTCCTTCCCAGAGGGGTGTGGCCCACAGGCCTCTCGTTGGGGAGCCAGCACAGGTCCAGCTGTGCTCACACGGGAGGACAGGCACTGTGCACGGAGCATCCTCCTCTGGTGGCTGTGGGCTTGAGGGGGCTCACATGGCCTCTGTCTCCTCACAGCAGCCTGCCCTGCCCTTCGCTGGAACAGCTCCCTTCCAGGTAGGTCCCGGGCCACTGGGACAGCTGTGCTCTGTCCTCTGCTGCCCTGTTTCTCTCGGGCTCTTCCAGGGGTGCAAGGGCCAAGAGAGCTGTGACTAGGGGCCCCACACAGAGCGCTGGAGGGTGTCGGGTGAGGCCTGTTCCTTCTCAGGGCCCTATGAGGCGGCAGAGACTTTATCCTGCTTCACACTGGGGAACTGAGGCTCGTCCAAGGTTACCTGCAGGGTGTCCAGGCCTGAGGCAAAGCTGGGCCCTGTCCTTCCGGCCCCATGAGCCTCACTGCTGACCTGGAGATCCTCGTTCACACCTCCTGAGAGCTCAGCCCTCCCTAGAGAGGGGCGAGTGGGTGCCTGGCTTGAGGAGCACAGTTGGATTGGGGAGCCCTGCCCAGCGGGGACGCTGTCCCAAGGGTGGAGGGCAGGTGGGTGGCCCATCGGTGTGACGCTGTGTCTCACCTCCAAGTCTAGAGAGGGAGCCAGGGGCTCTGGCTGTCTGAGCTGCTGTGGGGGCGAGGCTGCTTGCCTGCCACGGGCCTCCTGCCCGGATCCACGCAGGGTGAATGAACTCGCCCCAGTTTGCGCCAGTCAGTTCTGGAGAAGGAGGAGAGACCTGGGAGCCACAGTGGCTCCCGCAGCTCTGCCCGTGCAGGGTGTGGGGGCAGGCAGGGTGTCTACCTGCTTGGGGCGAGGAGCAGGAGCTGGGGCTGGCTGCCAGGGGCTCCCTCTCTGGGCTCCCCAGTGTCTGCCAGGGGCAGGGACAGGCCTGGCCAATGCGGGGCTGGACTCTCCCTGGGAGGGCCAGGTGGTGCTGGGCCAGGGCCAGGGCCAGAAGCAGCCCTCCACCAGTGCTCCAGCCCCTCCTCTCCCAGCCCAGCCTCCCCGCCCAGGCCTCTTCCACTTCCTGCAGCCCCTGAATCTGAGTCTCCCCACCCCATTCCTCCTTCCGTCTGATTGTCCCTGGTCACCCTTCCCTGCCCAAAGGGTTTGACCTGATGCTGGCTTTCGGCCTGGTGGAGAAGGAGTACGCCTCCATTCGAGGTGTGGCCATGGAGCCTTCGCCTTGGGGTGGGACCCCGACCTTCACACTCTTCAAGGATGCTCAGCTGACGCGGCGGGCCAGGTACGCGAGGCACAGGGCGCACAGGATCAGGTGTGCAGGGCTGGAGGGGGAGGAGGCCGGCCACAGCCGCACTGGCAGGCTGCGACCCTGCTCCTTGACACCACTCAGCAGGCCGCGGACTGGCCTCAACCCACGTGCGCTGGAGCCTCACAGGCTTAGAGCGAGGCCGCCTGTGGTGTCTTGCAGCCACACACCGGTCTTCCCCGTGTGCCTGGGCCCCTCATGCCGCCAGCCTCCTGCGTGGGAGCTGGAAGGCTGAGCCTCTTTGCCTGGCTGCACGTGTGCCCTCTCCGCTCTCGTGCAGCTCCGCCCCTGTCCTCGCTCACACTGACTGCTCCGGACTTGCGGCTGCTGGCGTCTGGCAGCCAGCGTTCCGTTTACCCTGACAGTCAGGTCATAACCTGGTGGGGGCCTGTGCTCTACATCCCCGATGTTGCTCATGGAGAAACTGAGGCAGGGAGCCCGCAGCTTGGCCGCAGCCTGTGCCTGGGAGAGGATGGGAAGGCCAGGTGTGGCGGGTGTGCGGGACGCCGAGACGCATGGCTGCGCTGTGTGTGCCGCTCTCCAGCCGGTCGCCTCCCTGCCGCTCACTCGCTCGCCTGCGCTCCCTAGCGACATCCACGCCGCCGCGCTCCCGCCGGAGCACACCATCGTCTTCCTTCTGCGCCTGCTCCCCGAGGCGCCCCGCGAGGCCTTCGCGCTGTGGCAGATGACAGCCGAGGACTTCCAGCCTGTCCTCGGCATTCTTCTGGACGGTACTGTGGCCTGGTCACCCTTGGCAGCCCCTGTCGCCCTCTGCTGACCCCTGTCTTCCGGGCAGCTCCTGCCCGGGTGGGGAGCCCCTGGCCGGGCCTGTCCGTCCGCTCTGGCCTTCCCATTTCGCGGGCTCTGAGACTGCTCTCACCTGCTCCTTGCCCTTCACTGGCAGCCAGCAGGAAGTCGCTGACCTACTTCAACCACGACCCGAGGGCCGCCTTGCAGGAGGTCACCTTTGACCTGCAGGAGGTGAAGAAGATTTTCTTCGGGAGCTTCCACAAGGTCAGCTGTCTGCCTGAGCCCCATGGGCCCTGCCCTGCACACGGTGCCCTCCTCTGCAACACCAGGCCCGACCCTGGGGTCCCTTTGTCCCCAGTGCTCCATCTTCATTTGGGCCAAACAGCAGCCCAGCCCTCCTCTTGGGGAGGTGCCTGCAGCCGGCATCAGAAGAAAGCCGAGGCCAGTGAGGCGGGTCCCCAGGTTCCATGGGCCATGGGTGGCAGCACCACAGCCCAGCCCTGGGTGGCAGCCTTCCGCCTGCTCCAGTCTGGGCCTGGCAGCCAGGACAGTGCTGACCAACGGTGTGGTATCCTGGCAGGTTCATGTGGCTGTGGGCCGCACCAAGGTCAGACTCTACGTGGACTGCCGGAAGGTGGCCGAGAGGCCCATGGGAGAGGCTGGCAGGTCGCCCATCACCGGCTTTGTCACCCTGGGGAGGCTGGCCAAGGCACGGGGACCCCGGAGCAGCTCGGCCACAGTGAGTCTGGGCCTCATCCTGCAGGCGGTGCAGCCTTTGCCTCGCTGACCTGTGCCCCACTGACCCGCGCCCCTGGGGTCCAGTTCCAGCTCCAGATGCTGCAGATTCTGTGCAGTGACACCTGGGCAGACGAGGACGGGTGCTGTGAGCTCCCTGCTTTGGTAGGTGCCCCGAGGAGGCCCTGGCCACTGTGCCTCAGCCCGTGTGCATGCCCACCTGAGGGCCACAGAGTCAGGGGGACGGGCCTGTCTGGACGGTCACTGTGCTGACCATGGCAGGCTTCCTGGAGAAGGGTGGTTGGATGGGAGAGCCCAGAGGCCCTGGGGCAGGCTGGGAACCCGCCTTCTCAGGCCCAGCCAGAGTGCACATGGGCCAGGAAGGGGCTTCTCCAGCAGGGCCAGGGCTCCTCCAGGCCTGCTGGGGACTCAGCAGCCTCAGGCCTGTGCCAGAGTCCTCGCCAGTTCCCTGGGTGCCCAGCACTGGGCCCAGCTGTGCCGGGTGCCTGGAGGGGAGTGAGAGGGGGACAGTACCATCCTGCCCTAGGGGCTCCCGGGACAGGGGTACGCACACAGGGGCTTAGTGTCCTGCAGCCTGGACCTGCCAGTGACACTTCCGCCCCTACCAGGCAGGGGTCTGGAGGTTTCCCTGGAGCCAGGTGTCCTCACCATGCTGAGCCCTTGGTCTGACAGGACCCAGGGGACGGTTCCCGAACACATGGTCTCCTTTCTTCCAGAGGGACAAAGAGACGTGTCCGGCCTTCTCTTCTGCCTGTTCCTGTTCCTCTGACACCACTGGGCCCCCGGGGCCCCAAGGGCCTCCAGTGAGTTCAGCAGCCTGTCCCCTGGCAGGGGTCCAGCTGGCACCTGGCTGCCATGGCAACATGGGGCAGTCCCCGTAAAGCAGGAGCCAGGCACAGCCCTCCTCAGGCCTGCCACACAAAAGGGACAGCTGTGTGTCTCCTCCCCACTGCATCCACCCAGCCCATGAGCCAGGCCTGCCTTCTCTCTGCAGGGCCTCCCTCCCCAGGCTAGGACACTCCCTCTAAGGGCAGCTGCCAACCCCTGCATGGTGTGGAATCCAGTGTTTCCCACAAGGCCCAGTCAGGATGGGGCCAGGCACAGCCTGCAGGTAGCTGCATGCTGGGTGCTCCAGGGCAGACGTTCAGCCTCCTGCAACAGGTGCTGCAGGATCCCTTCTGCCAGGCTGCAGGGCAGCAGCTTTCTGGGCCCTGGGCCCTGCTGTGGGTGATGAGAGATGTTCAGCCTGGCATCTGCCTGCTCCCTCTGCCAGCTCCACCTAGGCTCCCACCTGGGCACATTCAGAGTGCTCCCACTGAACCTGGTGGCCCACAGGCCTCCCATACCTCAGGCCAGCATCTAAACCCAGCTCTGCCTGAGGCTAGCGTGTGCCAGCTGGAGGGGAAGGAGGCCAGAATGTCCCCAAGCACAGGGACAGGAGTCCAGGGCCAGGCAAGGCTGGAGGGTCGGCAGGGCCTAGGAGGAGCCAGGGTTAGCGTGGTTTGGGGTTCAGCCCTGCTGTGCCTTCCCAGGGCCCCCCAGGCAGGAACGGCACCCCAGGACAGCAGGGCCTCCCGGGGCCTAAGGTGAGTCTGGTGGGCCCCTGGGAACGTGGGGGTCTGACCGGCTGGGGAAGGGCCCCTGGAGCAAGCTGCAGTCCCCTTCCCCCGCACGGCCAGGAGGGCACCCCAAGCTGGGCCCAGGCAGGAAACCCCGTGCTCCAGGGAGCTGGAGCGGTGGCCTGGGCCTCCCTCTCACCTGCTGGACCCTGGCCCTGAGCCTGGGGCTCAGTGGACACACCCTCTCCACCCACTCCGCCCTGGTGGCAGGGCCTTCCCATGGCCCGGCAGGATGGGGTGTGGGAGGCAAGCTGCCTGCCCCGTTGCTGGCCAGGCTGCAGGCTCCAGTACCAGCCTTCCCTCTGCTGTTGGCCACTTGCCCAGAAGGCCAGGTTCCCTAAGTAGCTCCGCACTCAGCCTCTGCACGCGGGCCGGGCACTCTGGGGGACAAGGGTCTGGCTCGGCGGGGGGGAGGGGGGCGTGGAGGCGGCACCCCACACCGAGGGCGGGGCCCCTCCTGGCCAAGGTCCAGATATGGACCCGAGTCACAGCGCTGCCTGAACATGGCTCAGGTGCCGCCCGCTGCCTTCCCAAGGGTCCCGCTGGTCTCAGATGGGGATGTGTCCCCAGGGCAGAGCTGGCTGGTCCTCAGGCCATGGTCACCCACTGGCCAGTCTGCTGCCGGGCGGGGAGGTCATGTGGCCTGGCCCGACTGCTGCGGACTGCGCTGCTGCGCCCGCCCCATGTGGTGGGCACACAGGGCCCAGCTGACCCCTCAGAGGTGCCCACCTGCGTTCTTAGCCAGTGCTGCCTAGGTGGGCTGACAGCATCTCTCTGGGCTTCTTACTGGAGACGCATCCTCCAACCCTTCACTGCGGTGCATCTCTCAGAGTACCTTTCGCTGTGTGGCATCACTGTCCTGTGGAAGAGGCTACCACGCTTGCCACCTTGTGTCCCTGGATCTCGCTTCTGACTCGTTTTTCCTACAGACATCTAAGGAGTCTCAGTCAGCCTCACTGGTCTGTGTTCTGTGCTTTGAGCTTTGTAGGCAACTTTAAAAGGCCCTGCTTAGTCTAGGGTAGGAACTGTGCATCCTCCAGTCCCTCCCCAGCCTCCAGGGCCCTCACACTGTGCAGTGGTTCCTGGCCCGCCCGCGTCCTTGGTGAAGTGGGTGAGGACCGACAGCAGCTCTCCCCAGACTCACCCAAGCCCGGCCGCCGTCTTTGCATGTGTCACCTCCCTGGGGCAAGCCATCCTATCCGCTGATCTGTCCATCTTCATGTGCAAGGACTTTGCCTCTCAAGTCACTCCCAGCGCACTGTACTTGCAGGCTTCTCAAGCTTGGATTCCGTCAACCACAGATGGAAAATATTTGGAGACCTTTTCTCTCTGACCATTCTCTGAGCAGTGGTAACTGTCATAGCACACACTTTGCATCAGGGTTTTTTTGTGTTTTTTCTTTGTACCGGGGATCGAACTCGGGTCCTTGCGCTTGTGCAGCAGGCGGTGAAACCACTGAGCTAAATCCCCGGCCCTGCGTCAGGTATTAGTCATGGAGCAATGATTTAAGGCATAAGGGGGATGTGAGCCAGGGTCTAGGTGAATACTGTGCCACTTCATGAAGGGGCTTGAACACCATGGGTCTGCTGTCCCCAGGGGCCCCGGAACCAATCCCCAGAGAACAAAATTTTGGTATCACACTGTGTGTACTGGTAATCCAGCACTGTAATCCCAGCACTGGGGAGGCTGAGGCAGGAGGATTGCCATGAGCTTGAGGCCAGCCTGGACTACATAGTGAGTTCAAGGCCAGCCTGGACTACATAGCAAGACCCTGCTTCAAAAAACCAAAAAAAAATTTTTTTCTTTTGGTATCTAGGGGTGCTGGTCCTTAGTTATGTTTTTCCCCAGAATGTTCCCAGCCCTCTTTGCTTATTTCATTGTTCACTGAACTGTAGAATCCACTTGTCCATTTAGCCTGAAAAGTTCAATTGGTGTCTTTATTGGAATCACATTCAATTTATAGCTGTACTTAGGAACAAGTGACTTTCCAATCCAGTTCTCCTTGTCTAGGAACATGGCATGGCCATCCTTCTGTTCTGGGCTGTTTTGGGTGCTGGAGGTTGAACCCAGAGCCTTCCTGCTGAGCTACATCTGCAGCCTCTTTTTAGGTTTTATTTTGACCAGAGTCACTGAGCCATCAAGTTGCCTGGGCTGGGCTGGATCTTTTGCTTTTCCCTCAGCCTCCCAGAGTGCAGGGATGACCACGCCTGTTTCAGTCTCTCCTTTCGCCTCCCATCTGTGACCTGGAGTGAAACTTTCAGGAAGTTGCTTCTCCTCCCAGCACTGGGCTCTCCTTCCCCTCTGAATACCATGCCTTCTGTCAGCATTTGAGGCGAGGTATTTTCCTCTCCTTGCAGCTTCTGTCTCTGTTTCTGCTTAGGGAATCCCTGGCCCCGTTTCTAGCTTTCTTATTCAGTTGTCTTATTTGTGATGCTGTCTTTAGTTCCAGGTGGTTTTTCTTGAATTTTCCAGAGTTACAGTGATATTACCTGCAAATAACTACCATACCTGCTCCTGTCTGATTTCTCTTTCTTGCCTAATGCGCTCGGCTTCTTCTGGGCTGAACAGAAATCCTTGGCTCAGGTTGCTGAGTGGGGAGTAGACTTGGAAGCTGAAACAGATATATTTTGTCACATGATAGTAAAATCCATTTATTCTTAATTTATTATGAGATTTAAAAATCAGGAATGGATGTTAAATAAGATTTAGTGCTTGTTCAGAGGCTGTGTCCATGAGGAAATACCTTCTCCCCAGAGCTCTTTGCTGTTAATTGGCCTGTCCGCAGACACCAGCCATCCTCACAACCGTTAGAAAGCCAGCTCCTCTAGGCCCCTCACTCAGTTCCGTGCGACATGCTGCAGGCTCTGTTCCCCGACACTTTATTTACGGTTTGTGCTATGCAGTTTGCCTTACAGAGTTTGGAACGCTGATTTGCTTAATTCAAAAAATAATTTGAAAGTATGTTTTCCTCCCCAATTTCATGCAGTTTAAACAGTCTTGGTGTCACTGGTCCCCTAGGATTTGGATTTCCAGTGAGATCTGAGTCTGGTGTTTGGGGTTCAGAGAGTAAGGGAACCTCCGTGTCTTCTGTGTGGCTGGCCCACGGGGCACCTGCTCCTCCCCCAGCCCCTTTGGAACCCAGACTGGGGCTCTGGCAGAGGCGGGCAGCACTGGCTCACAACCTGACTCTGCTCCCCACTCTCCTGTGGCCCTGGAGAAGCCACCTCGCTGGCTTGCTCTGGATGGGGTCACACCAGGGCCCTCCCAGGTGGGAGGGAGGCAGCTCGCTCTAGTGGTGGTTCTGAGTGCCCTGGGCCTGAGAACCACGCAGTAGTGGCTGCCTCCAGAGGGCTGGCAGAGAGAGGAAGGGGCATGGGGCGGTGATGGGCAGGCCTCCTGAGTCCCCCACTGTGTCTCCAGGGAGAGCCAGGGCCACCAGGACAGACAGGACCAGAGGGCCCTGGGGGACAGCAGGGGTCACCAGGGACTCAGGGCCGTGCAATCCAGGGGCCTGTGGTAGGTGCTCCCCCACCCCCGCCCTCCTCCCCGCTGTCCCTCCTCCCCGCTGTCCCTCCTCCCCGCTGTCCCTCCTCCCCACTGCCCAGCCGCCTTTCCCTCCAGGGTCCACCGGGGGTCAAAGGAGAGAAGGGCGACCATGGCCTCCCGGGCTTGCAGGTAGTATGGGCCGGGCTGCAGCAGGCAGGGCAGGGCTGTGAGTGGTGTCCCCCTCTGGTATGACCCTGGGCCCTGCCTGGCTGGCCACCTCTCTTCCCTTTCAGGGCCACCCTGGCCAGCAAGGCGCTCCTGGGAGAGTTGGGCTCCAAGGACCAAAGGTACTGGCTCTGACCTGGTTACCCCGCGGCGGGCCAGAGGCTGGCAGTGCAGGATGGGGAACAGCTCCTCCACTCTGTGCACCCCGAGTGCCCTGTACCCTGGCCCATAACGCTCCCTGGGGTTGGGTGAGGGGAGTGGGCCAGCCAGCCTGCGGCTCACAGACCTGGAGCGGGTCACCTGTGCCCAGCACACCCTTCTCCCACCAGGGAACGAGAGGACTGGAGGGGCCTGCTGGCCTGCCTGGACCCCCAGGCCCCCGGGTAGGCCCTGCCTCCCCTGAGCCCTCACCAGCACACCTGGGGCTCCTGGGGGCCTGGCACAGCTGGCTGGGGGAAGGACTGAGTGCTGCCTGCTGCTGTCCAGCCATCCAGGAAGCGACCTGGAGGAGGCCTGCACCTGCGCCTGCCGGAACTGCCTCCAGGGTTCGGCATCTGGGCCTGGAGCACACTCCTGTGGAGATGCAGCATTTGCACAGCCACCGTCACTCCTGCACCCAACTTTGTGGGACGGGGTGCAGGGCTCCTGGCTGGGCCTGGTAGGGGTGGGGGGGCCAGGTGGCTGTGGGGGCACGATCCCCACCCCTGCACCTGTGTGAGATTCCCAGTGGCGGCGTCAAAGTCTGCCTGGGGGCTCTGACCTTGAAGGGACCTTCCCGCCCCAGCTCAGCACTTCCCAGAGGTCTTTGCTGTGAGCCAAGCGCAGGGCAGACCCCTGAGTGGGTCTCAGGACAGGAGCCAAGATGCGGGTGGTATCTGCAGGCCCCCTCTGGGAGTGTTCATGCCCCCATTGTACCAGCAACTTGGGGGCAGCACGGGGGCATTTGGTGCACAGTACACGCTGACAGGCAGCTGGCTGGGGTCCTCCCTGGGGTCTGGCCTTGGTGCCAGGCTGGGGGCAGGACCTGGGCCAGGCTGGGGAAGTCTGAGGGTGGCTGAAGTGGACCTCAGGGGTCTGGCCTTCGTCAAGCAATAGGGCTCAGGCTGCTCAGGAGCCAAGACAAAGGGGGCAGATGCGCTAGGGCCCCAGCTGAACCTGACTTCCACTCTCTGCAGGGATTCCAGGGCTCAGCGGGAGCCAGGGGAACCAATGGGGAGCGAGGGCCCCCAGGGGCTGTGGGGCCCACGGTGAGTCCCCTCCCTGCCTGGCCAGCCAAGAGCACAGTGCCCTGCTGTGTCCAGGCACAGAGACTTCCTGCTCCCCAGTGGAGCAGGGCTGGGGGCTGGGGTCAGGGGAGCTAGGGGAGAGCAGCAGCCCCTTCTTGGGGGCCAGCACCGCTGGGAGATGGCCTTGGCCACAGGCAAGTTGAGGCCTCCAGTAGTCTCATGGGGTCCAAGCTCCAGTCCCTGCTGCAGGCCACCAAGCCCGCTTTGCCTGCTCCGGGGTGCAGGTGAGGGGCACATGCTCCTTGGATTTGGGAGTCCCGCTGGGACTTTGCTTCACCACCCCGAGGGGACCCACAGCCTCTGAGCCGGAGCCCAGGCTGTGAGTGTGGCCCTGTCACAGCTGCCATAGCCTCCTCGTGGGTCGCTGACCAGTTTTCCTCCTCTGCCTCCTGCTGCAGGGGCTTCCAGGACCCAAAGGGGAGCGAGGGGAGAAGGTAGGTGAGGATGAGTGTCTGGGTCTTTGGCCCAGCTCTAGCGGTTGGGCCTCCCTGGGTGACGCTGGCCAATGGCCCCAAAGCCTTGTCCTGCTTCCAGGGGGAGCCTCAGTCCCTCACCACCATCTTCCAGCTGGTGAGCCAGGCCTGCGAGTCAGCCATCCAGAGTAAGTGAGGGCCCACCGCCCGCCTGCCCTGGGTCCTCTTGCCTCAGGCTGGGGTCCTGCTGACTGCCTCCTCCCCAGCACATGTGCTCAAGCTGGACTCCTTCCTCCATGAGAACTCCAGGCCCCCGATGCCCATCCTGGTCGAGACAGTAGAGCCAGGCAGGCCTGGGCCCCTGGGGACCCCCAGCCTTCGAAGCAAGGCCTCACTTCCTGGAGAACAGGGGCGCAGGGACCACCGTCCTGAGCACCAAGGTACCAGGCTTCCTGCACTTGGTGAGAGGCTCTGGGTTAGGGATGTGGCCATTCCCTGGTCCTGGGCTGGTTCTGTGTGTGTGTGTGTGTGTGTGTGTGTGTGTGTGTGTGTGTGTGTGTACCTGAGTGTGTGTGACCCCTGACTCTTGTCAGGAATTGGCTGAATCCCAAGGTGTCTCAGGGAGCTGGGGACAGGTGCAGGAGCCACGGGGGCCATGGGACTCTTGCCCTACCCTGGTCACTGGGCCAATGATAGTGCTGCTGTCCTGAGCTCTCAGACCCCTGGGGTCCAGACCTGCTGCCCCTCTGGTCAGAACAGGGCCCTGAGAAAGGGAGGCTGTGGCTGCTGCACCTCTCAGTCCTGGCACATCCCCTCTCCTGTCAGGCCAGCCTGTAGCTGTCAGCCAGCCGGGCAGCCCTGGGCCCAGGGTAGCCGGGCCCCAGCATCCCAGGAGGGGACAGGTGAGTCTCTGTCATGGACCCACCAAGGAACACACACACCCAGGGAAGAGGGTGGCTGGTGCGGGATGCGCACAGAGGATGCAATGACCCCTCCCTATGGGAGCCGACCAGGGCAGGGTCTGGAAAGAGGCCAGCAGCAGGGCGGAAGCAGGGCCAACCTACGGGGTGGACAGGGAGCCACAGGGTGCAGGTGGAGGTGGCAGGGTTGGTGAGGGATCATGGGTCTCAGAGGAGCCAGTGATGGGCAGAGGCCCTGACCAGCCTTAGCCCTGCAAGGAGGCTGCAGCTCGGATGAGCATCAGGGATGCCTGCCTGGCTGTGAAGCAACTCTGTCGGGGCCATGGGAGGTTCCAGGACCCCGGTGTTTGGGTGAGCAAAGTGGGCCAGCTGGCAGCATCGTGGCACCAGGGACCTCTGCACCCCCTCAGACAGCAATGAGATGTGCACAGACCCCAGCCTGTCTCCTGCAGGCAGAGGTGGGCGCGGGTGGGCACAGCAGAGCTTCATTCTCAGGCTGCAGGAGCCTGAGGGATTGGGGAGAGGACGGGGCCAGCACAGGGCATGAAGAGCGGTGAGCGCAGCTGTGGATGAGGGCAGGTGGCCGGCGAGGCGAGGGATGCTGCCTGGGACCAGGCCAGCGCTGTGCTGTGCCTGTGCCACAGGGAGGTGTGCAGACCCGGGCGAGCACGCTGCCGAGTGGCACCCGCCACGGTGGCCTCTCCAGACCTGCCTGTCCCTCTCCCACCAGGACGCGCCCCGTGCTGCCTCGAGTGACCCTGGGCCTTCCGCCCGCACCTTCCCCTGGGTGTCTGGACACTGGGAGAAGAGTCCTGGCGAGGCGAGAATGAGGCCCCAGGAAGAGTGAAGATGGGAGGGGAGGAATGAGGAGGTCCGGTGCGCCCGCCCCGACTGTGCTCTGTAGCATTTCCCAGGCAGATAAAGCGCCGAGGCCTCGGTCAGCACCAGGCGCCTGCTCACTGCGGGGTGGGGTGGGGGTGCCTCCACCCTGCTGTTACTTCGAGACTCACACAGAACCTGGCCTGGATTTCTGGCCCCTCCTCAGAGCCTCACCTGAATCCTGTGCTGCACTCTTCTCATCCCTCCCCTCCCCCAAGACAGCTGGTGGCTCACCTGCTTACCGTCACCAGCACACCGGCCTGTGTCCTCCATCCTCCCAGGTTCCTGTCACACGGGGTGAAATCAGGCTTCCCTCTCACCGGCTCCAGAATGCCGCAGGCTTCCTGCCGTGCCCACCCCAGGGCCTTGGCACATGCTGTGCCTTCTACCAGGCTCTTCCCCCAGATAGTCACTCTCACCTAGTGACCCTACCTCAGAGCAGTGCCCCCCCCCCGGCCCTGGTGTCCCTATCAGCCCCTACAACATGTGGAGATGAGCAGAGCTTTATCGCCTAGCCCAAGAAGTTCCGGTCCTTGTGTGAGTGACTGGACCCCTCACATGCTCAGCCTCTGCACTGAGTTCCTTGTCCTAGGGCTCTCAGAGCAAGGTGTCCCCCACCTTGCTGTGCCCCTGCTGCCCGATGCTCCCCGACCCCATGAAATGCTGGAGGAGGACTCACAAACCCATCCCAGAGCCCGCTGGACGTGGGGACCAATAGGGGACAGGAGGAAGGATCAAGAGCCAGGAGAGGGCACCCTGCACCCGAGGGGGACACTTCCCTGCCGGCCTCAATCGAAAACTCCTGACCCCACATGGCGCACTGCCGGGAGCGTGCACAGTCTCAGATCTGAGGAGAGGGAGGGGCTGAGGACAGGCTCCAGACAGCGGAGCACCAGGCAGACAGGAGGGGCAGCTCACACAGCGCACAGAGGGGCTGCAGCCCGTGTGCACATCAGACAGTCACAGAGCAGTGCCCAGCGGCTGCGGCCCTCTGGACACTGGCTCCTGTCTGGGGCCGGCACGGCAGGGCTCGGTGCCTGGCCAGTGACACAGCTTGGCTGGCGACTCTGTCTCTCCAACATGGTATTATGGGTCCTCCAGCAGCAGGACCAAGGGAGGCCAAGCGGACAGCAGAGGGCAGCCTGGAGCTGTGTGTGGAGCTCTGCTGGCCCAGTGCCGGCCACTAGGGCCGGTTCCGGTTCCGGGAGGCACGAGCTCGGGAAAGCTCAGGGGCTGGTCCCCGAGGGTCCACAGGAGCCCTGGTCATGGGAGCAAGCTGCTAGCCATGCCTGCCAAGCATGGTGGCCCTGTGTGGAGCGGGCTCCAGATGGCGTTAGGAGTGGAGAGGGGACAGAACCACAGACAGAGGAGGCGGGGAAACCACGGAGCACCTGGAACCCTCCCCGGCCCACAGACCTGTAGAGCCAGCTTGAACATCAGATACAGTCTTCAGAAAACGACCAAGACTCCTGGCAGCAAGGTGGCCACCTATCAACACCCCGGCCCCCGGAAAGGCCGAGAAGTGGGGCTGGCACGACCAGGGCTCTTCCATAGCCAGGCACGCTAGCACCTGTCTGTCATCCGAGGGCCCTGGGAGGCTAAGGCAGGAGGGTCGCAAGTTCAAGCCTAGCCATGGTAATTCAGTGACATAGTATGACCCTGTCTCAAAAAATTAAGAGAGAAAGAAAGAAAGAGGAAAGGAAAAGAAAAGAAAAGGAGAAAGAAAAGACAAGACTGGGGATGTTGCTCAGTGCAAGGCCTAGGGTTCAATCCCTAGTACTGGAAAAAAAGAGCCTTCCATCGAATGGAGAGGACTCAGTACATGTGCACAAATGTGTGCCTCTGTATGTGTGCACATGTGCATGTGGATGTGTGCGTGCCTGTAATAGGATGGCTGCTTCCTCATGCAATCTCCACACACATGCATGTGCACACTTGCCAACACACACACACCTGTACACGCATGGCAGTGTTATGCAGGGCCAGGGCCTGCGTCAACAAGGGAAAAGTGAGGTATGTGAGAAGGAAACATGGATAGAGACACCACATAAAGATGGGTCCACGTTCTTCGTGGTCCATTCATTTTAAAAAGTCATAATATGCCAAAGACAGGGAGGAATATTAACAACATGAAGCCAGAGATAGCAGGTACAAATAAAGGAAAACCAACTGGAAATGCAGTGAACATAAGGAGAGAAATGTCAATAAGGAAATCCAAGGGAGAAATGGACACAGCTGACAGCATCAGTGAGCTGCAGGGTCAGGGCTAAGAAGTCTCCAGAAGCTTCAAGAAGGATTTAAAAAGCAGAAAATTTACATTCTGGTTCCCACATGACAAGAAGGAGAGAGACAGTGACTAAACAGGGGTGGGAATGCGAAATGACTAGTTTTTGAAGATTTGAGCATTAGAGAAAGATTTAAGATCTCAGATTAAAAGGACTCCAAGTGCCAAATGGGATAGATTAGATGTGCCCTTAGATTCATTTACTCAGGGCATACTGAAGACAGTGGAAAGATGGTTAAGAAATCCTCACCGGAAAACCCACAGCCGAACCACAGAAGGTCAAGAATGAGGCTGGCGGCAGCAGGGCTGAGAGCAACAGCTCCACTGTGTTGAGGAAGAAACACTTGTATTTTATATCCAGCAGAATTATCATTTACGTGACAAAGGGAAAGATTGCTTGGGGCCCACAAACCTTCCAGGTGTAACACAGGACCCTCTCTGAACACCCACTGGAGGGCACATTCCACCAGGAGGGGAGTCTCCCGGTGCACAGGAGAATCCGTGTCCAGCGTGGATGGAATGACCAAGCCCTCTCTGTCTGCAGCAAGCGAGAACTAAAATGTAAGATTATTCCAACACGACTCATACACGGAGGCGGCTAAGGCGCCCTGATGCTGGGGGATGGAGCCACGGTAGAGATCTTTCTCAGATCAATTTATAAGCCCTTGAAAAACATAAGAATTTAAGTTATGAGCAGCCACAAGAAGTATAAAAACAAGTTATACCCTTGAGCACAGTTGACCAGATCAAATGTTCTTCAGAGGGCATAATATATTTTTTAAAAATAAGAGATGGCCCAGATATTTCCCAGTGTAGCAGAACCTGCGATAAACATAAGACGAACTCTCCAAATCGTGTTAAAACACAAATTATGGGTTCCTGCTTCCACCCACTATAAAGTGGCTAATCCTGGACCCCAAACCACCCAAACTATAAAATCCACAGGCCACTGCTCAGCATTTCACAGGAAAAGACAGTTTTTTCAACAAATAGAGACAAAACAACTCAATGTCTGAATAACAAAGGACAAGGTGCCCCCCAGCCTATGCCACGCCTAGGCTGCGATGCCATACAAATAGTGATTCACAAAACACCTGAACCTGAACACTATAGAGGGAAGTACAATTTCTAGAGGAAATACAGGACACACCCCATTGGGTGGACTATGATTTCTTAAGCAGGATACAGAATAACAATAAAAGGAAAAAATAAATGATACTTCATCAAAATTAAAAGCTTTTCTCTGAAAGACACCATTAAGGGGCCGGGGATTTAGCTCAGTGGTTCTGCTGCCTGCCTTGCAAGTGGAAGGACCCGAGTTTGATCCCCGGTACCAAAAAAAAAAAAAAGACACCATTAAGAAAACAAAGAGAGGGCTGGGGATTTAGCTCAGTGGTTCAGCCGCCTGCTTCAAAAGCTCAAGGACCAGAGTTCAATCCCTGGTACCAAAAACAAAAACAAAAAAACCAAAGAGGACAGTCACACAGAGGAAAGACTCCTGCTGTCTGCATCTGAGAACAGCCTTCTACCCAGAACATAAAAATACCCCTGCCACTCATGAAAAGAAGCCAATCTGATGAAACAGTGGGCAAAATATTCTGGCAGATGCTTCACGCTAGGGCAATGTCAAGTGGCCAGGAGCAAGCTGGAAAGATGCCCCCTGGTCACTAGGGAAGCCAAAATCACCCTCTCTCTGGAATGGGTTAAGATTAAAAGACCAAAACCACCAACTATGAAGATGTCAGGGTGTGAAAACCATATTGGAAAACAGTTTGGCAGGTCTTCAAAAAGATAAAGACATAACTTTTGTAAGACCCAGGAATTCTACTAGGAATTTGCCTGAAAGAAATGAAACAGAAGTCCACACAGAAACTCATGCGTGAATATTCACGGCAGCTTCCTTCACAAGGGCTTCCTAATGGAAGGCATCTAAATGCCCATCAGTGAGTAAAGTCTCATATATACACTTTCTGCACAAAGATCGGAAACACACTGAGTGACCAAGGCTCTGAAAGGAAACTAAAACATACGCGAACTGACTATGTGTTCAAAACTGGATTAGAGAGTCTCCAGGTTTTGCTACAGAGGGACAGGAAAGACCTCAGCAGTTAAGATTCTGAGCTCACTTATCTGCTGTCTGTAAGAAGCTCGAATGCTGTATCCGCACACAGGTGAAGGGAAAGACAAGAAGGAAAAGGTAGATCATGCAAATGCTGCCAGAAGAAAGCTGGAGTGGCCATGTTATTGTCAGAAAAGTAGGTTTTGAGGGCCGGGGATTTAGCCCAGTGGTTCCGTCACCTGCCTCGCAAGCGCAAGGACCCAAGTTCGATCCCTGGTACCAAAAAAAAAAAAGTAGGTTTTGAAACACAGCAAGTTATCAGGGGCAGGGAGGGACATTACATGGCAAAGGAGCAATCCACCGAGGGGACCACCAGAACTTCAAGGTGTGAGAAGCAGAAGCAGTCAGAACTGGAATAGGGGACAGAGGAATCCATAGAAAAAGACAGGAAATCAATAAGGGAAGAGAAGACCTGATGCCACTGTCACCCCGATGGACCTGGCCAGCATTTCTTGAACATTCTCCAAAACAAAAGGAAATGAATTCTTTTCAAGTGTATTTGGGACACTAACCAAGACAGATCATATGCAAGGACCAGAGACACATGCAACAAATTCAAAAGAACTGGATCAAACAGGCTGTTTCTCTGACTACCAAGGAACCAAATTAGAAACCAAATTATAAAGATAGGAAAATTAACAAAAAGGACAAGAGGCATTTTACAGAAAAAACACAACCCGATAAGTACATGACCAGGTGCCCACTAGCAGTTAAGAAGTGTTACCCAGGGTTAGGGGACAGCAGCTAAGAAGCGAAACTCAAGCCACAGCCGAGACAACTGCATTCTCACCACATGGCGGTGAGCGGGAGCCCTGGTGTGGACAGGGTGCCTGGAAGGCTGCTGGGAGGGGGTTTCCGTGATACAACCACTTTGGAAAACGGTTTGACAACAGCTGATTGCGCTGACGCCATGCACCTCCTACAACTGAGCCATCAGCCCCAGGTCTGGATCTGACAGAAGCATGTAGATCAATACCTCTCACAGCAGCCGGAACCTGAGAATCCATGCATCTGTCACCAGAATGGCCGGGTAATGGCAGCGTAGCCACATGGCAAGCACACGCAAACTCCAGTGGCACGTAGCAGCCAAACAGGCTGAGGAAAGGAAGCCAGGCGCAACAGTGCACCCTAGAGGATACCAAGCCCGTCCACCGATGGGGTGGATCCAGCTGGCTGCTGGGGAGGGGCTCTGGGTGCCAGTAGCATGGGCAGTCCAGCCTGGAAGCAACCATGCAGCTGTGCCACTGATGAGTCACGTGTGCAGTACATACATCACCCCAGAAGGCAGGCAAATACCAAGAAATGTCAGCCAGGATTAGGGTAACGGAAGCGCCCATCTATGGATGGTGAGAATGCAAACAGAATAATCACATGGAAACATTTTTGCATTATCTTCTAAAACCCCAGGTATTATATCCTAAGCTGCCTGCTTCCAGCTGTGGGTCAAGAAATCACTTTGGTAGGTTGTAGGCAACATTTTCTACAGATTGAAATGGAAAAGTCTAGATTAAAACAATGCCAAGGCACAGAACCTGCACTCAGGCTGTAACTGTGTTGCTATGGGCGTGTTTCGGGGACTGGCAGCCTGGTCCAAGAAAAGTCCAGATAGCAGGAGGCTCCACTGTGCAGAAAGCAGCCGCAGCAGTGTGTGGACACACAAAGTGGCCTTGTGCCTGCACAACTGCTCCATGTGGGCTGCTTCACCCCAGAACTGTCCTGGATGCAGAGTGACTGGACTTGCACACATTTCTGGTGAGAAAGTACATGCCTCCGACCACTGTGGGCAACAGTGAGGGTTCTTCTGCCCCAGGGGACAGCCACTCTCTCTGGGCAGGCTGCAGCCTGAGTGCCTGGGTCTTGGTTTATCAGGGAGAGAGACAGACCCCTCGAAGAACCACGCCATTGAAGGAAGACTGCTGTTCCCGGGGGAAGCGACACGTCATAGCAGGCAGGGACACAGTGGGGAGCACCAGGCTGGTCGGGAGGCACAGGAGGCCCTCGGAGGCTGGGCAGGACAGAGGACTCTGTGAGCATGGCCAGTGCAGACAGGCAGCAGGCTTTGAGGGATGCAGGTGGCCTCTAGTGGCAGGGTAGGGCCCCTGTGGCTGAGGGCAGTGTGCGAGTTTGGAATGAGGTGGAGGCACAGCCCTTGGTGAGCCTGCCTGCGGCCGTGGCTCCAGGCAGGCCTGTACCCCTGGGGATCAGCTAGCTCAGGGAGGAGAGGGGCATTCACAGGCCTGAAAGCCCCCGAGATGTCAAAACATTCAAACGTACAGAAAACAGAGATGTGATGAGACACAAGAGAAATGGCAGCGTGCACACAGACAGACACACATGCAGTGCCTTAATCGACCACAACCGTGACTGGAAGCAAAGCCTGTGGATAAACACGCTGTGACCAGTTTATTCAGACAGAACACTGCTCGGCAACTAAGAACCAAAACACAACACGGCCATGAACTACAGATGCACACAACACAGAAGAACGTCAATGTCCTCAGACTGAGTGAGGAAAGCCACACCCCAGTTTCCACAGTGCCGTCATCCTGTGGTCCACAGTGCACAGTGCCCAGTGCTGCAGGTTCGGGGGTCACGTCAGGGCTGCTGTGCCCCAAGAGGAGCAGAGGGACAGAGTGGGGAGCACTGCTCGTGGCGCCCATACACTGGAAGGCCGAGGGCAGTGCTGTCCTCTTTCTTAAACCTCACTGGCCTGAAAGGCTCACATCACGCATTTGGCCATAAGTAAACTTTACCTCAATTCCGAATCAACGCTGCAGGCAAATATGGGAAGCTGCGTGTGGGGGACACAGGTGCTTTATTTCCTTTCCTGGAGTCCCGGCAGCAGGAGGGCTGCCTGACAGGAGTGTCCTGGCTCCTCACGTCTCCTGACCCAGAAAAGAACATCTGCAGCTGCACTGTCCAGGGCGCCACAGCTGCCCACACATCTGGCAGCTGGATCTGCTTATGCAACTTGGATCTTGGAGTTCACATTTGAAATCTGCCTCATCCATCCTCCTCCGAGGCCTGCCCCCCAACCCCAGTTGCGTGAACTTACCCACCTGAGGACTCTGCTGAGGGCAGGGTGGGAGTGGCTGGCGCCAGTGCAGACCCTGCTCAGCAGGAGGGGCCCTCAGTGCCCTGAAGACAGAGGCCTGGGATGCCCGGGATGGAGCACTTAGGCCTCTGCCTCCCACTGTGGGCACAAGAACCTCCCAGGGCCTCAGACTCAGGACCCCATCTCCACAGGGACCCTGTGGGTGGCCAGCAGCCTGGTGTTCAGAGGTGGGAGGGTATGGGTGACATTAGCCCTCGGTGGCTCCCCCATCCCAGCATCACTGGCCAGCTGGGACCAGCAACCTTTGGTGGCGGCTGCTGCACTGACCAGAGCTTGGTGTGCATCAGCCCCAGACTGACGAAGTTACTCCCTCAGTTCTCCCAAGTACCTCAGCTCCAGGCAGGGATGAGATGGCCGAGGGAGCAGGGTCTCCCTGGCTAGTTGGGGTCAGCAGGGGGACGGGGCTGGGGCCACTGCACAGGAAGACTCCTCCCACCCTGGACCCCGGGCACGTGCGACCTGAGAGGCAGGAGCAGCATGTGCTAACCCCATATCTCACAAAGCACTCCAGGGCCGCCTGGTGCTGTCTTGTGGGGCCACCACTTCAGCCCTCATGACTCTGGACAAGCCAGGTGGGTGGTAAGGCCCCTCCTTGGTCTGAGGCCCCTGGAGGGCAAGTCAGCCCTGACCTGTCTAGAAGCCCCAGGGGTCCCCAACCCGGACAGCAGCTCGGGCTCCTTCTGCCCCTCCACCCAAGGTCCCAGGTTGCACCAAGGGGACCATGGCCTAACCATAGTGACAGTGACAACGACAGGAAATCCTGCCTGCCGCTTGCCAGACCCCAAGGGGCTCCTGGGCTCTGAACAGCGGAGGTTTCAGAGAAGAGCCCAGAGGGCCTGGACCCAAACACCAGTGCCTTTGGGGGTCTGGGGTCACTAGGCCTCTGGGAGGTGCTCACCACAGAGCCCCAGGGCCCTGGACCCCCGGGGCTGCCTGCACCTGCGCCCTCTGAGCAGGGCTGTCCACATGGCGCCTGCTCCAGGCTCCAACAACTAACAGCCTGATGAGCAAAGCAGACCCACCTCGGCCTCCGCCTGGGGAGACTGGAGGTCTGCTCTCTCTGGGGGCTTGGGTGGGGTGCTCGAGCTGCTGGACCCCAGGGAAACAAGGAAAAGGGGCAGAAAGGGGACAAAGCTTCATGCCTGTGGCAGGGCAATCACCGGGCATCTGCAAGGCTCAGGCGAGCATGTGCTGTCTGCAGGCAGGAGAGCAAGTGGTCTGCTCTGGAGAAACTTTGATGGGGCTTAGCCACGACACTGCCCTGTGGATGAAGCAAGCACGTGCCAGCCCTGCCAGCCAGCCGCCCCTCCCTGGCCGCTGCAGGACCAGAACCAGCACCCAAACTCCAGCTCCCTCAGAGGTAGTGTCTCTTTCCAAGGCTAGCTCACAGCAGGTACGGAAGATGGTGGGCAAATGGCCAGTGGCACGGCCCCGTGGAGCTGGGGGGCGGGGACAAGCAACCCAACCCTGCCGCATCTTGTAGTTGCCCAGGCCACACCAGCTCCATCCTTAGATCATGCCGGCCAGCCAGGGTGGCAGGAACAGGCCCACGGTTCCCAGCAGGCAGACAACGATGAACATCCAGAGGAAGATGCGGTCGATGACCATGGCCACGTACTTCCAGTCCTCCTTCACCTGCGGACACAGACACTGCATCACTTCAGCTCCTGGCCTAACAGGCAACCAGAGCACCTTCCGGAACCTGGTGCTCCAGTGGCAGGTTCTGCTTCCCACCAGGTATGCACCGGCATGCACACCAGCACAGACACCTGCACGTACCTGTACGCACCCTGAGCACGCACCTGTACCAGGTGATGCATGGGGAGGGAGCACATCAAAATGACTATCCAGCTAACATTGGAGAACCCGGTCCCTCAGCACAGAGCTGCTGCAGGGCTGCACTGGTGTTTTGAGCTGCACGCAAGGCACTCGTGTGTGGGATCCCTGGGTTCAGATGGAGCAGAGCTCCCTGGCACCCTCCAGGAGACTGGGGGCTCACACTATGTCCCCAGCTGACCTCATCCACCTGGCGGGCTGCCTGAGCACGAAGGAGGCAGAGACCAGTATGTCTCGAAGGGCTTCCCGGCTGCCTGGTGAAATTTGTTCTCAGTTTGCATAAGCTGGGGGAGATACAATGGAGGCCAAGTCCACCTCCGCACTGCACAGATCCTGAAAGTGGGACCCACAGAGCTGATGCCCGCTAGCCTGGGCTGATGAGGGAGTGGGTCAGCAACACGCTAGGTGGCATGCCAATCCCCGAGGAGGAGCCCCCATGGCAATGAGGTCCCAAGAGCCGGGGCCACAGCCTGACTGTCCACACCGCCCTCCTGCTCTGGGCAGGGGCTCACAGCTCAGCACACAGGAGCTGGGGCAGGTCTGGGCCAAGCAGGCTGCCAAGGGACCACTCCATGGCAACGGTGGAGCGGTTGGAACAGAAGGTGGACGGTGGAAGCAGATGTGCACAAAGCGCCATCCGTCTCACTGACCCCCACCCGAACTGTCTTGTGACACGCGCAACACGGAGGCCCGAGCAATGGAAGGAATGGCCCTCGGCTACAGCTCTGAGAGAGCAGACCCAGCCCAGCCTCCTGCCTCTGCCTGGGGCTGATACAGAGCAGCCACTTCCCAGGGGGCGCCAGAGCAAAGATCCAGGGGAGGCCCGGGGCCAGCCAGTCCCTGGAGACACCTCTGCCCTGGCCTCGCTCCACAGCCCCTGAGCTTGACTGGAGCTGCTTCAGGATGGACCCCGGGCAGGTGTCAGGAGCCAGCACACAGGTGGCCAGGATGGGGCCGGAAGAGGAGGCAGCAGGCACCAGCTCAGGCCAGCGGAGGGATGTGCAGCCTGGCAGGCCTGGGAAGGGGCGGAGGTCAGCTTTCCAGTTTGGCAGCACCTGCCCTGATTTTTCAAAGCAATGCAGGCATCCTGAAAGCTCTAAACCAAACCTAGATGGCTGTGTTTACTTATAGAAAGCCTCAGAGCAAACAGGGTGGCTTCTAAATTAAAAGCTCCCCAGGACTCCTGTTGCAGGAAAGGCGAACAGCAGGCCTGCGGGGCTCCTCCTGCGACTTGCGACTGCCTTGAAGTCTTCCCCGGGCCCAGCCCATCCTGAGAGGAACCAGGCGGCAGACCAGAGCCCCCTGCTGCCCACTGCCCCAGTCCCCCTCCACCAGCTGTGTGCCCCAGACCAGAACCAGGTCAGCACCAGCAGATCCAAGAGCTCGGAGGGGCCCTCAAGCTCCCCTGCTCCAAGCTGGTGACAAGCCAGGCTCGGGAAGATTTTGATTAAACTTCTGGCCAGTGGTGCTGCTCAGCAGCCACTCACATGCGGCTGGGGAGCTGCAGCAAAACAAGTCCCAGAACGGGCATCCTCCAGGCAGGTCTGTGCAGCCCCACCTTTCTGGAGACCTCGAGAACGGGCCCACAGCTTCCTGGGATTCAGCAGGGTGCCTGAGGAGCCACGACCCACTCGAAGGGCATGGGTGGCAGCCTCCTCCTTTTGGGCTCTCACTCAGCTCCCGGAAGCGGATGTCTGCCAGCTGGGAGCCCAGGCCAGGCGGGGCCACAGGCGGGCGGGCAGGCAAGAAGATTGGGGTCCCAGGAGGACTGCAGCAGCAGGGACTGGGGCGAGTGCCAGGCACGGCATGGCCAACTGTGACTCGGTGCGGGTCCTGCTGAGGTAGCAGAGCCCAGGCCGAGGGGCACCCGACTCCCACCTGGCCTGGCCTGGGCTCTGCCAGGGCCTCCAGGTCTGCACCTCCTGGAGCCCCAACAGGCAGAGTCTAAGACACAGCCAGCAGCCCTGCACCCCACAGGGCCCCGAGTCCCTGCCTCATCGGAGCCAACACCCCGGCGCTGCAGGCCCCCACGGGTGAGAGGCAGGCAAACACCCCAGAAGGAAAGGGGCCCTTGGTGGCAGGGGGTGAACTGGGCCCACTGCCTGTGGGGGCCTAACTGTATGGCTGCCTGGGTCAGGCAGCTGGGAGTCTGAGGGCTCATACTGAGCGTGAGCAGTGGGTCGGGATGGGGTCCCCAGCCAGGACCTGCTCTCTGGAGCCCCCAGGCCCCTGGGGCTTGCACTGGGCCCGGTGACTCTGCAGCTCCTCTTCCTGGCCTGGCCATGCACGTCTGGGTTCAAACCCCAGCCTCCCCTCTGGGCAGCCTCAGACATTGGCCAGCCCCATCTTGGCCTCTGTCAGCCCCATTCCCCCGTCCCAGACCCCAGCACCTTGCCCAGCCCAAGCAAGAGGCCCCAGCAGGGCTGCAAGAGCCAGGAATGCCTGCGTTTAGGGGCAGCACAAGTGGGCCCTGACCCATCGGGCAGGCAAGGTTGGCGGGAGATCCCAGTGGTCAGCAAGGGCCTGGACACCACAGGGAAGGCCCGGTGTGCCCAGTGCTGCCCCTGCCACCACCAGGGCGTGCAAGGCCCAACACCCAAAGGGGCCGCATCTTGGTCCTCTGCTGTCCACCAGCCACTCTGGGCCACTGTCCTATTTATCCTCAGTTTGGCTCAGGGACCCACAGGGGCTGCCAAGTGGAAGCCACACTGTGTACCCCAGAGCTGAGCAGCCGGGTCTGGTCTTCAGCTGGAGGCAGAGGGTATCTGCTCACCCCCTCGGGCCAGGGCACCTCCCAGACAGGCACGGGCCGGGACTCACCGAGAAATCAGAGTCTTCTGCCTTCAGATGATCAGCGATGTACTGGACGCCCTCCACCGCCTGGGTCAAGGCCGGTGACAGGGGCAGGTGCCGGGGTGGCACTTTGGTGCTGTGGGCCTCGAGCACAGTGACCGGGGACACCACAGGTGGCTCCTTCTTACACATGCACTTGCATGGGGAGGGCTGGTCTGGCGGCAGCTCAGCAGACTGGGCCTTCAGAGAAGCCGGGGAGCCAGCCACCCAGCCATCAGCCCAGGAGGCAGTGCTGTCCCGAGGGCCCCAGTACTGGACACTCCGAGATCGGCTCCGGATGCCGCCCTCCGTTGTTTCATGGGGACTGGACATGTGCTGGACACTCAGGGACCTGGCTTTGGGGGTCGCAAAGGCCCTGGAGCTGTTGGGTAGGGGGCAGGGGCCAGCCTCCTCGGCCCCCGCGGGCTCCACAGTGGGCGCCTGGCCAGAGGCCGACTTGCAGGAAGGCTGAGGCTCCGCAGGGACACAGGAGGATGGGCTGGGAGATGGGCCCCCACTGCGGGAGCCACTCAGGACGCTGGGCTCCCCCTCAGGCTCGGGCCAGAAGCGTGGGGTGCTGGCCATCTTGTGCATGGACTCGATGAGCCGCCGGCAGTTGTCCTTGACCACGGACGGCCGCTTCATGAAGAGCAGGCGCGGCACGATGTCCAGGAAAACCCTGCGCACCCAGGCAGGCATGCTGTGCGTGTGCGGCCAGCGGTGGTGCACGTTGAGCACGAAGACGGTGATGATGATGGAGAGGGTGACGAAGATCATGGTGAAGAGCAGGTACTCACCGATGAGCGGGATGACCAGTGAGGTGGACGGGATGATCTCGGTGATGAGGAGCAGGAAGACGGTGAGCGACAGCAGCACCGAGATGCACAGGGTGATCTTCTCGCCGCAGTCGGAGGGGAGGTAGAAGACCAGCACGGTGAGGCAGGAGATGAGCAGGCACGGGATGATGAGGTTGATGGTGTAGAAGAGTGGCAGGCGCCGGATGACGAAGGCGTAGGTGATGTCGGGATAGATCTCGGCACAGCACTCATACTTCCGCGTGTTGTAGGTGCCCACGGCATCCACGATGGCCCACTCGCCGCTCTCCCAGAACTCCAGCTGGTCCACCCGGCTGTGCATGCTCACCAGGTCGATCTCAGCCTTGTCGTAGGTCCAGGACCCGAACTTCATGGTGCAGTTCTGCTGGTCGAAGGGGAAGAAGGTGACATCGATGCTGCAGGAGCTCTTGTAGATGGCCGGGGGCGTCCACTGCACCCGCCCGTCATGGAACAGGTGGGCCTTGGTCAGGTGGGTGATGGCAAAGTCCCCATCCGCACTGCACAGAGAGGAGAGGAGCAGGTGGGCCCCACACCCGCACCCAGCATCCTCCCACGCACCTACACACACCGACACCCCACCATGGGGCCACGGGGCAGAGCACAGGGCTGTGGGTGGGGCACGTGGCCTGTGTGCCTCAGTTTACCACCTGAGTTGCAGTGGCACGTGGTCCAGAGAATGCAGCAGGGACGGCTATGCCTGGCACCATGCTGACTCACTCCTGCTGGTGACAGCTGTCGCCCCTCAGGCAGGGGTCTGGGCCCAGTCTCTGGCTCCTGCTTCCAGGGCTCCTGGTGTCCCTACACACATGCACCTCTGAAGGGTGCCGAGATGCCCCATCCCCAGACACCTCGGAAACCACCCAGCAACCCCTTCTGCTGGCTGACGCTCGAGGGTCACAGCACCAGGTTCCAGGTGCTTCTCCGTCCTGCGGCTGGCAGCCAGCCCCTGCCTCGCCCCAGCAGGGCAGCATGGAGGTCCCACAGGACGGACTGTGTCCTGTTCGCAGGCTGCATGTATCCACCAGGAAGGGCCGGGGACTCCCTCTGGGCCTGGGAGCAGGGGCGCCCAGCTCAGCAGGGGTGTGACCCCAGCCCAGGGCACCAGTGCCTCGAGAGGCAGCAACAAGGGCTGAGCAGCTGCTCAGCCTTCCCTCCTGGAACAGAGGCGCAAATGGCCCTTAACATCACATGGGAAAGCTTCTCAGGCACCGCCAGGCACTGCCGCATGTTCTGCAGGCACCGTCTGCCCATCATGGGCCTCGGCACAGACCAGGTGGGTGGAGAGGCCCACTGCCCCCAGCAGGACTGTCTGTCCTCCTCGGGGGCCCAGACACAGAGCGGCAGCCGGATCCCCCAGAAGTGCACCCTCCCTCAGCCCCAGGGACAGAGAGGCCGTGGCCCTGCAGGACAGGTGAGGACGCTGCAGCCTGGAGGCAAGGATGGCGCAGTGGCAGGGCATGACACAGGGCTGGCACACACAGGAGCTGCCTGACCCAGGGGCCAGCGTCTCTGGCCTTACCCTGTGCTTCAGGGATGTCAGCTTCCTGTCCCCAGGCTGGGACACTCTTGGGCCCCTCCTCCTGGTGGGCAGAGCTCCCAGTCCTGGCCCCTGGGCTTCACAAACAGTGACATGTGTGCCTCAACTTGCCTGCCTGCTGTGGGAACTCAGGGACCCCAGCCTGCAGCCCCCACAAAGCCCTGCCCTGCCCTGCCCTGCCCTGGGGTCGGCCCCACTTCCTTCTACACTTTCGTCCCACTGTCCAGGTCTGTTTCCCCACAAGGCCCAGGCTGCCCACCCTGACGCCAGTCTGGCAGCCAGAGAGCAGCGGGGCAGCGGCGGAAGCCTTGGCCACCCTGGACAGGCCCTGCCAGCCACAATCCGAAATGCTGATGGGAAGCTTTCATGAGCACTCTGAGGCCTGATTAACCCACAGAGCAAGACACAGCCCTGAGCCACAGCCTCTGTGTGCTGAGCCACTGGACCCTCTGTGCATTCCCTCCCGCCTCTGTCCCCAAGACTCAGCTCGAAAGCCAGGGCCCTCAAGGTCCTCCGGCTGACCCTGCCCTGGCCAGCACGGCCAGGTACTGACAGTCACGAGGCAGAGGCGGGGCCGCCTGGGGACTCTCCCTGCTGCTGAGCAGCACCCTCAAGGTCGGGAGCCAGAGCCCAGGCTCTCCGCTGTCGCAGCTCCCTCCCCAGCCCCACAGCTGGCTCATGGCGCTGCTGCATTGGGAGACACTGCCACAGCAGCTCTGCAGGCATCCCAATGAGGCTCCTGGTGTCCGGCCGCTTTGGTGTGGTGCAGAGGCCGAGGCTCCCTCCGGGTGGGTGCAGGGCAGATCTCAGCGCCTTGCAGCCAGTGTGGAAGTGGGCTCTGCTTTGCTTCTTTCTCCCAGCCCATCTCTCCAAAAATCAGAGCCTTACCCCTTCAGGCAAAAATTAAACTCTACTCCTGTGCTCAGCAACATTCTGGAAGGCCAGACAGGCTGCAGTGGCCACCAGAGCAGGCACACAGCTCACTGGGGCCTCGGGCTGTGGCCTGTGGGCTCAGCACCAACCACCCGGCTCGGCTCGCTCTGCCCGCCCCACGGCTGTGCTCTGGCCCTGGCCTTCTGCTCGCTCAGGGCAGCCACCTCAGGCTCGCCAGGGCTGCACCTGGGACTTCCCTGTCTCCAAGGACGCAGGGAGGCCCAGCTCCTGCCCCTCCTGCCCTGGACACTGCTGCTTCCAGTCGCACCCCATGGGGCCCCAAGCTCCCAGCGCCAGGTGCAGCAGTTCTTGCTTCTGTGTTCCTCCACGGTGCCAGGGCACAGTCCCTAGGGGCTAAGGGACGACCCTGCCCTCAGACCAGCAGCCCCCACAGGAGCCCTCGGTGGGCCCTCCGGATAAGCCTGGCCGTTCTGTTCTGGTTCCACATCTGACCCCATACCTCAGAGCCCCAGAACCCTGAGGGCATGAGCTTTTGTGTCGAACTGCCCAGCTGGGACCCTGAGGCTGCTCTGGATTGGCCTGGAGCTGGGCCTGCCCCATCAGAGAGGCCTAGCTTTCTCTGCCTCCCTCCAACACCAGGTCAGAGACTTCTGGCCTCTGAGGTCCAATCTTAGGGAAACCCCAGTAGACCATGGGCCTCCAACCAAGGGGTTCCCGAAACTGATGCTAGAATGGGGGCCTCCCTACCCAGCAACAGGCCTCAGCCCTGCCTGGCAGCTGCCTGGCTCTAAGTGCTGACCTTGGTCCCTCCACGAGCTCTGGTCCTGAGTGCTGGTCCTGGGGATTCCACCGTGGTTGCGGTTCCCAGACCTGCTCATCTGCCCAGCCCCCTCCCAGCCAGGGCCAGCCAATCCTGCCCTACAGGGCAAACTCTGCTCCCTCCAGGAAGGGCGGGCTGGGTGGCCATTAAGATGTCTAGGGCTGGGGTTCACACTGGGCAGTTGCCAAGGGCAGGGAGCCCACCCCATGGGAGAGTGTGGGCCATAGCCTTTCCACTCACCTCAGGCCGCTGCCCTTAATGCAGCCCGGAGAGTCCACCCCAGCCTTTCCCATGCCAAGGCTGCAGCACTCACTGGACTCAATGAAGAGGAAGAGGAGCCCAATCATTCTTAATCAAATAAGGACGTTTGTAGGTCAGACAGACACCCTGGGGCCTGGAAGGGGCTGTGGGTAGATGGTCAGGACCAGGAGGACGAGGGGCTTCCATTTCCTTTATTTGTAAGAGCTTTGAGAGCTGCTGTCCCCAGGCTCTGAGTTGGAGCGCTGCCCCTGAGCGGGTGCAGCTTAGAAAGAGCTGGCTGTGGGGCCTGGGGATTTAGCTTAGCGGGCCTGCGCTGGCCTTGCAAGGGCAAGGTCCTGAGTTCGATCCCCAGTACAAAAAAGAAAAGAAAGAGCTGGCTGCTGCACCTCAAGGCCCAATGGCCCAGACCTCCGGTGAGAGTCCGCAGAGGGACAAGTGGGGTGGCCACACCCTGCCACGGCCAATCCCTGGAAACCCACCCTGGCTCCCACATACAATAGCGTGCTCCTGGGAAGCAGATGACAGGCTGTTTAGTGGGAGCTTGGCACACGGGGACTGCCAACTGGCATGGCGCCCATCTGTGGGGCTCAGCCGTGAGACAGCCACCCCGGGCCTCTCCCTGCCCACCCAGCACCGAGCTTCATGCTTCCTCCAGAAGGGAGAGTTTGGCAGGGGCCAGAAGGTGGCAGCCCTGGGCTCTGTGAGCCTGGTAGGGCAGGGGTGCGACACCCCTTCCTGCTCACAGGAGGGAGACTCCCAGGAACCAGGAGGACCCCTCTGTCCAGGGCTGCTGTGGGCAGGCAGGGACCCAGGGCCCTCTGGCTCGGACACTCCGTCCCCAACATCCTCAGACTCCTTGCTGCCCCGGGGTCCCCACCCCAGACGCTGGACTTCTCCTTGCTGGGCCCAGCCCAACCCTAGCCCAGCAGGGCCGCCGGCTCACTTGTTATAGAGGACGATGTCCGGCCGCCAGATGAGCTCAGAGGGAATGCGGATAGAGGTGACGTTCTCGTAGTCGCTGGGCTCCCAGCGCAGCTTGTAGTCGTGCCACTCCTGGGGAGGACAGCCAGCCATGGGGTGGGAGGGAAGGGGGAGAGGCAGGGGCGAGCGGGCCCCCACTCACCTGCTTCACCCACACGTTCGTCGTCATCATCTGGTTCTTCTCGTCCTAGGACACGAATGAGAAGGCAGCTTGAGATCCCCTCTTGGCGATGTGTCTCCTGAGACCCTGTCCACAGCCATGGCAAAAACAGCCAGTGCTGGACCTCAGAGAGAGGGAGCACTTGGCCCTGGATGGTGGCCCAAGAGGATTTGGGGACAGGGGACAAGAGCCCCATAACTTTTCTGGAAGGAAACTGGGGACAAGGCTCAGCCAACTTAATGGCCTCCCCAGCTGCTGTTGGTTGAGCCCCTTCCCAGACACCTCCAGAGCCCCACGCTGCTCCCTCCCAGCTGGGGAAGGTCACCTGAGCCCGCTCCTCCTGGGCAGGACTCCAAGGAGTGGGATGTGGAGCAGAGCAAAGAGGCTGGGGCCGCCCCGGGCTGCCCGTACAACCTTGCCTCCACACGACAAGGTCCCCGCACAACCACATCCCCGAGGGACCTAGTCCCATGTAGGGAAGCTGGGTGGGGGAGAGCCTCTCCCACCCCCACGGGGGGCTCCAGGTCCTCCGAACAGCTTCCTGGTGGCTGTGCCAGGCCCTTCTGTGAGGCATCTCTCTGACCACCATGGCCAGCTGTCACCTCGTGTGCTTGGAGCCAGCAGACGCATCAGTGCATCTCAGCAGCAGGTCAGGAAACCACTGGGGATTCCACGGCCTCCTCTGGAACTGGCACCAGGGTGTGAACTCACACGTGTCACCCAAGCACCCCTCCCAGCAGAGACCCAGGAGTCTGCCTCAAGAGGCACAGGCAGCTGGGCACCAGGGCTGACACGGGCAGGGTGGGCCAGATGCAGGGAAGCCTCTTCCACCCACAAATGCAGCCAGGGCTCCGGCAGGGCCTGCCATGTCAGCACACACAGCCCGAGTGCTCACAAGTGACCCCGGCCAGCTCCAGGCCCCACAGAAGTGCTGGGAGCCACCGCCCTCACAGGGGTCTTGGCTGTGCTCTGGGCCTCGATGTCTCCTGCCAAACCTGGGAAGCAATGGCCGAGAGGGAGCCGAGGAGAGCCCTGATGGGCTCAGCTGGGAAGCCAGGCAAGCGACCTGGAGAGCAGACCTGGAGCCTTGAGCAGTGGCCAAGGCAGCCTCTGCCAGCCACCACTTTGCAACCATGTTTGCAAACCTCAGCAGGGTTGACAGAGCATGCACATCGTGCATTGTCCTCTGGCTGGGCCCCAGCCAGGGACGTGGCAGGAACATTCAAGGGCCAGTTCCAGGACACCACAGGGCAGGGGTCTGAGTGGTCAGCTCGAAACAGGGCTCCCCCACTGGAGTCTGTGCACAGCCCCATGCAGGCTGGAGACTCACACCTTCCCTCAGCCCATGTCCAGCAGGAGCACTGGGGCAGCAGAGGTCACACAACTTGCAGTCAGCCCGGAACAGGAACCTCCCACACACGGAAGCCCCTCCTCACACCAGCAGCCCAAGGCGGGCAGGGTGGCCTGTGGGATGTTGCAGCCCTGCTACAAGTGTGTGGGGTGCTCTGTCCCTGGGCCCAGCAAGCTGGCCTTCACAGTGTGCTGCAGCCGGCTGGTCCCGTATGAAACTCAAGCCCTTCTGAGTAGATGGCCTTGGTCTCCCCACTCTCTCCTTCCCCCCGAGCCGCCAGAACCCACACTCCAAGGCCTAGGGTGCTGGGCAGGGCATCAGGTGCTGCAGAAACTTGCAGTAGGAACCCCAGGTTGTGCAATGACATGCAGCCAGTGACTCCAAAGCTTGGTCTTACTCCCAACAGAGCAGTTGAGCCTGGCCAGGAAATGCTGGGTGCATAACTAAGCATCCCTGCCATGCACAAGGCCCTGGGCCTCCTTTTTTTTTCTTTTTTTGGTACCCAGGATCAAACTCAGGACCTTGTGCTTTGGAGCCAGGCACCAGAACCACTGAGCTAAATCCCCGGCCCCTCCCTGGACCTCCTATGGCATGCTTCTAGGGGCTGTGACATGGTCTTCCACTGCTCCCCTGACCAGGAGCTCTTCGGGCTCCATGCATGGGGGCCCCTGGCTATACCCTACATGCCCTCTTAGCAGCCTCCCTGGACCTTTACCAGGAAGGTACACATATCCCAGCCTGAGCTGCATCCAGACCCCACACCCAGAGCAGCGGATACGCAGGAGCCTCTGAGACCAGCCCCAGGTCAAGGGCATTGTTAGGGCACAACAATGCCTACCCGGCCCACCCAGTGCCACAAGAAAAGCCCCTGCAGCACAGCCATGCAAAGCCATGGCACTGTCCCTGGCCCTGCCCACGGATCCGTTTTCCATTCTTACTCCTGAGGGTGCCAGGGCCAAATGCCTGGTCACCAGGTTTTCCTCTACAGACAGGAAAGGCAGGGCTGGGAGCTGGGCTCTCAGGAAGGTGCACCTGCTGGGCTCAGTCTGGCCACTGTCACAGCCATGCTTCAAGCTGCCCTCCTGCGGGGCCCTCCCTGAAGGGCTACTCAGTTGCTGTGCCCATACCTACCACATCAATTAGCTGGGCGATGGACAGGCCAAAGCGGACGAGGACCACATCCGAGGTGTTGGCCACTGGCCGGGACCACTTGTTGTAGCCGGAGAAGAGGGTCTTCAAGAGCCGCTCCTCCGAGTGGGCCCGGGTCTCCACATGGCTGCTCACTGCGCAGAGAGGTGGGCCAGTGGCTGGTGCAGATGGGCTGGGTGGCCATCCACGCCGCCTCACACCAGGCACTCTGCCACATCCCCACCCTACCTGAAGACCCTCGTCGGGTGTGTTCTGCCCCATTCTCAGCCTCAGTGTCCCCTCGCCCCCAGAAGGTAAACGTAACTTCCTCAGGGAAGCCTTTTCCAGACCCCAAAAGTTGGCTCAGGCCTTCCTAGCATCCTGCACCACACCACAAAGTCAGACAATGGGTCCGGCATGGGATGCAATAACAGCTGTCAAGCTGTCTCCTGGGCAGATGGTGACCACTGAGGGGAAGGCTGCACCACAGTGGACAGCAGGGACAAAGGACAAGATGTGACAGCAGCAGGGGGGGGGAGCCGGAGCAGGGAGGAGGAAGAAGGGGGCAAAGACCCTGCTCTGGGAGAGCCAGCTTCCTGTGGCTGCCAGGAACCCAGTCACTGCACAGAGGGAGGGGGCTGTACCTGCAGCCCGGTGGGGAGGCTCAGCACTGACCCTGGCCAGACCCAGGAGCCCTGCACAGACAGGCGAATCCCTCCCAGGAGCCCCCACTGCGCTCCCAGGGTGGGCCCCCTTCTCTGCTCAGCCCTACCAGCCCATGTGCATCCCCTCTGTGGACTCGAGTGGTCTCGGGGCTTCCCTGCCTCCTTTAGGTGGCTGCATCATGGAAGGGGAGACCCCTGCTCCCTATTGGCTCCTGCTCACCCGAGAAAGCCACCAAGGGCTCCAGGAGGCGTCAGTCCTAGACACCTGGGAGCTGGGACTCCAGCCCGGACCCCACCCCAGCTCGCTTCTCTCGGTTCATTTGACCAGTGAGGCGCAACCCACTCCTCACCAGGGAGGCCGGGGCCCCGCGGGTACAGGGGTGCTGCAGAGTGGCCGCCCAGAGAATGGGAAGGAGGGAAGGTGGAGCGAGCCTGAGGGAGCAGAAAAGGGGGATGGGGGCCTCCAAGGGCCGAGGCTGCGGCCCCCCATCCCCTAAAGCAGGAGACCTGGGGGTCTGCAGGTAACCTGGCCGGATGGATACCACCACCACCACCCCCCCGGGTCGCACCTCCCTCCTGCTGGAGGTACTAGGTCGGCTCCAAACAGGCAGTCAGACCCCCTCCCCCAAACCCCTCTCCGACGTCGGCGGAGCGTGAGTCCTTCCGGGCCGGCGCATGGCCCCGTGGCCCCGTGGCGCAGGCACGAGCTTTCCTTCTGGCTTCGGGGTCCGGGACACCCGGCCCGTGCAAGGGTCTCGCTCCGCCCAGAAACTTACCCGGCAGGAGGCCGGTCCCCAGGAGCAGCAGCAGCCCAGGCAGCAGCGGGGGCGGTGCTCCGGGGACCCCGAGCTCCATGGCGCATCGAGCGGGCTCTGCACGCGGGCGGCTCCCGGCTCTGCCGCGCCCCCGCTCTGAGGCCCGCGCGCGCCCAACTTCATGCCCTGCGCCCGCCGCGTGTCCCACGGCCCGGCTCGGCTGCGCGTCCTGCGGGGTGCGGGGCGGCGCGGGCGGGGGACCGAGGCTGTGGGATCCGCGTGCAGCCCCGCCCGACCTGCAGCCTCCAGCCGGCGGGGAGAGGAAGAGGGGGAGGGGAGGGAGGGAAGGCGGGGAGGGGAGGGAGGGAAGGCGGGGAGGGGAGGGGGCAGACCGCGCCCCTGAGGGGCCGTGGACGCTGCCTGGCTCGGCGTCCTGGGGGTAAAGTTTCCTCGTCCTCCAGGGGCTCTGACTTGCTCAAGCCAGGGGTGGGACCCCGTGGGCACTTCGTGGTGGGGAGTCCCTGGCCCCTCCCGAGGACCCCCCACCCCCCTCTCGGCCCTGGACCCCAGTGGCTTGCTCTTGGAGCTCAGGGGAACAGATCTGGCCCAACTCC